TAATTACTAATAGCACAACGAACAGCAATTTGAGAGGTCATCATAGGCTTTCACTTAATGAAATAATGATGATTTAAGTTTTGTCTGTGTGGCCTCTACTTCATTCTCAGACTTTCTCAATTCTACCCTCTTACCCTAGTATGGCAACCTTAAAAAAAAAGTAGTAAAATGAAAACCTATGGCTGTTTTCTTTTATTCTTTGCAAATCTGTTCTATGTAGAAATTTCTCCACAAATGGAGAAATATATTTTCTGTATTGTTGAGGACAACTGTTTCAGTGAGACAGTCTGCCCTTACGTGGCTGGATAATCTTGGCCAGTTATGTATTCAGCTGGCCAATGTTTGTCACCTGAGGTGAAGATTGGGTGAGACAGTTAAACACGTGCAGGAAGGCCTGTGCCCCTTAATTGCATATCCACGCCATGAGATTTTGGTCATCATTTATTCAGCACCTCTGTGCAAGGTCCTTGGAGTGAAAGGTCTGAGTTGTGCTCAATGGTAGGTCAAGGAACTAATGTACAAGCACGACGTACCTGGATTTGGATAAGGGATGGAGACGTCCTTGGCACTATGCAGACGGCACAGAGCTCGAAGGGATTGCTAACGTGGTGGATGGCTACGTAGCAGGCGAGGATCAAGTAAGATGGAATTTTTATCAGGGCGACATGGAGAGGTTTACCTTTGATTTTAAAAAGGTAGCTCTTTAAGTATAAAATGGGGAGCCATGGTGGATGGACAGCAATTAGCCTGAAGAAGATCTGGGGGTTTTAGTGGAGTCACTAGAGTCTCATTTTGACTCATCAGTGTGGTATGGCAAGCAGATCAGTGAATGCAGATATTATAATCTGAATTTCCCATAGAAGCTGAATGAGGTGGTGACTTGACCTGTGGTCATACAGTTGGTCAGTGTGGGAGGCAGGATGTGACGGCAAGGACGTCCTGACTCTAATTCCAGCAGTCTGACCACACAGCCTTGAGCCCACAAGAAGGACACAAATAATGATATTACGATGTGTGTGATGTAAGTGTCCAGGCCAGGTACAGGCCCAAATACCAGGGGACATCCAAAGAGGGAGCATCTCCTCCGTCCCAAGTTAGAAGTGGGCAGTGCCTGCCTGGTGTGGTCCCAGAGTTGTGGGTGTGGAGCCCGAGAGTTGGCACCTCTGTCTGTCACTTGCCACCTGTGTGACAGCTCACCTCAGCTGGACCATGATGGAATTGGGCTGGCTGCTTTCTGAGGTCCCTTTCAGGCCCTGAGTTGAGCCCCCAGGGGCATAAAATCGAGGGGTTTTAAAGGGTTCAGTGAAGAGCTGTCCTGCGCTGACGGTCTTGTCTGACTTGGAGGCCATGACTTCTGGCAGAGCTGACCTCCCCACAGCGTGATGAAGGAGTTAGTTATTCGTCATGCGGCAGGGAGATTGACATGAGAGTTTCTCACTTGGGAATTCTTACTTTCTGATCCATATTTCAGTGTCTGTGTTCCCATTCACCTTTGATTTCCTGTGAGTAAACTTAGGCACAAAACTGAGCAACTCATTGTGTGGTAAGCCTGTCCTTCAGAAGCAGCAGAATCATTGGGAGGAATTCCATCGCAGATCCGAGCCTCCCCAACAAAGAGCAATTGGTTGCTGGCATGTGATTGATGGGAAGAAGTGACTACATCATTGGAGAATTTATGCTGGAAGAAAGGAAAGCTGGGGCCGCTGGGTGGCACAGCACCCAGAGCACTGACCCTGGAGTCAGGAGGACCTGAGTTCAAATCCGGCCTCAGGCGAGTGACACTTACTAGCTGTGTGACCTTGGGCAAGTCACTTAACCCCACTGCCTAGCCAAAAAAAAAAGAAGAAGAAGAAGAAGAAAGGAAAGCCAAGTCTGACAAGCACCCTAGATTTTTGGAGAGGTCTAAAGGAATCCCGAGCAGGATGCCAAGGACTAATACTCTACAAGGGAAGCCATCCTCAGGAAAGACAGGAAGGTCACGAGAACGAAAAGAAACAACTTAAATGAAGAGGAAGAGGAAGATTTATGAAGGAGAGAATGATATACATGCAGAGGATACTCATGAACCAAGTTAAAATTTTAGAAGAGATGTAGAAGATGGCAGCAGGGATAGGTGAGACTATGAATGCTTGATCAGCCAATCAAGAAGCATTTAGAATTGAGTACCTACTAAATGCCAGGCTTGTGGGAGGTGGGAGGTGCAAAGACCGAAGGGGCTTCCTGCCCAGCTGGTAGAGACAACTTAAAGAACTCTGTGTAAAATGGATACCGAGTCAATACGAGGTGGTTTGGATAAAAGCACAAGCAGCTGGTGAGGGTCAGGAAAGACATGGTGGGGAAGGTGAGGCTTGAGCTGAGCCTTGAAGGAAGCCCGGGATTCTGAGAGATGGAGGTGAGGAGGGAAAGCATCGCAGACCTAGGGCACAGGCAGGAGACGAGGAGGCGCTCTGAGCTACGGCCAGAAGGCCGGCGTGACTGGACCCTGATGTTCAGGGAGGCCAGTGATGGGCAGAGGCTGCAGAAGTGTTAGGGGGCTCTCTAGGTGGCCAAGGACCCGCGGGCCCTGGAGGGAGTTTATTGAGTGGGGGAGCAGCACGGTCAGACTCGGGATCATAGTGGAAAAGGATAAAGGAGGAATAACGCAAAATGCCCGTGTTCCTGGGAGACGCAGATTCTAACAGCCCAATCCTGGACAAGTCCAGCCAAGAACAGCACTGGCTCCCTGACCAGGCAGGCTGACAAGTGAACTCTCTCAAACACAGGGTAGTCTTCTCAAGCCCAGGGAAGGCACTCAGTGAATCCACTCACTGCTCTCCTTGTGGCCTGGTTCCGCACCTGTGTTTAACAGAGGGCCCACAAAGGCACTTTGTACTCCGAGTCCAAGGTCATAGGATTATTTAACGTTAGGTCTGAAAGGGACCTGAGAAATCATCCGGTCTTTTACTGATAAGGAAACTGACGTAACTTAAGTTTTTAATATGCCTGAGAAACATTGGAATGATGCACATATATGTGTATATAAACACACACGTGTACATGTACGCATGTATAAATATATAAACATGTGTGTCACTTTAAGATTCAGAATCTGCTATCCCGTCCTAAGGAGGATAGGTAGCAGAAGTATTATTCCTGTATTATCAGTGAGGAAACTGAGGCTCAGAATTCGTGGGTTATCTCTAGATCACAAAACTGCTAAGTGTCGAAGCTTGAATTTGAAGCCGGGCTCTCTGGTGCTGTTGAACTAGGAAAGAGCCCACGATAACCACTGATGTTTCATAGCACTGCGTTAACATTTATGTGAATGTTTAATGATAGGAAAATCTTGGGTTTTTTGAAAGATGCAATTAATATAAATTTAATGAAAGCAACTAATCACTGTTGGAGGCATTTAACAATTCTTAAATCAAAGAATGTGACTAAAAGGAAAGTGGTCTGTATTATATAAATTATTGCTTTTGTCCTTATGGACTGTCAGTCACCGAGCATTTATCAAGCACCTACTCTGTGCCAGGCCCGTGTTAAGTGCTAGGGATGCAGAAGAAGGCAAGAGTAGTCCCTGCTTTCAAGAAGCTCCGATGGGGGAGAGACAACATGGTAGCAATTATATACAAACCAACTCGAGACAGGATGAATGGGGCTGAGGATACCTGAAGCGGGCCTAGTCTTGGAAGGAAGGCACCAAGATGAAGGAGGATGGGGGTGGGGGAACCTGGGCCCTTTGGCTGAGACTTGAAGGAAGCCAGAGGAGCTGGAGGCGGAGGGGGAAGGCTTTGTTTGGGTGTCCTTCCCTCGGACTTTCCTCGATTCACCCACTGCTCAGTGCTCTCCCTTTTGTTGATGCCTGGGCACGCTCTGTATTTTGCTGTATTTCCCGGCAGCATGTAGACCAGTCAATAAAATCCCCCAGGAGGGGGGTGATGAGAGAAAGGCCCCTCTCTTTGTCTGTGTCTAGCCATGTCTAGCGGTCACCTAGATGTGGAGGCATCGGCATTTAGAAGTTTCATTTATTCCTTCGAATTTGTACTTGGATTCTTGGAAGCCTTTAGCATTTTCCTCTAAATGAAGAGTGAGGCAGCGTTCCATGATGGAAGGAGGCCTGCGTTTAGGCTCCATGGCTGGGCCCGGCTTGGATGTGGCTCCATAATTATCACTGCGTCTGTTAGGACCGTGGCCCTTTTTCTTCACCGAGTCTTGGTTTACTTGTTTCTGAGGGAAAGGATGACCCTAGACTTCCTGCCCTTCAGCTGTGCCATTGTGTGCCATAGAATCCTCTCTTCCATGTCCTTGGACGTGAGACTGGACAGCCCGACTGCCTCCGGTTTCTGAGGTCTTTGATTTGATAAGATGTTAGATCTCTGACGACTTCAGCTTTATCATTTTCTCCTCCAGGGATAGTGACAGCACTTTCGTTATGCATCCCCTCTTCCATTCCCGCATTCCTAGATTTTTCCTGACATTTTCAGAGTTGATATGAGTTTGTGTCATATGTAATTATATTACTGACTATATATCATGTGTGATTATGTATTATTACAACATGTATAACATTTTTAAAAATAGCATTTATGCAGAAATCAGGCCTGACCTTTGATGGCCTAGGTCATTATAATGAAAAACTTCTTTCCAGCCTCAAATTTACTGCTTTGAATGAAATAAGGCAACAGCAGTGAGATTTGGATCTCTCTTAAGGCCTAAGTCATCGTCCCTTCCTACAAAGTTGTTCTTTACTAGTTAATGTTGGACTGTATAAATAGAACCTTTTGGAAAGTTTGTTTTTAAGAACTTGCAATGATCTAGAAATACTATAACAAATCAACATTTACTAGGTGGAATCGGTTTGAATTATAGACATGTTTTAAACAAAAACTGGTGTATGAATCCATGCTCATTTTGATTCATCATTATTCAGGTCATTTTTTCCTTTTAAGGATGTTTGATGATGTATTTTTTCTTTATGTGAAAACTAACTCTTTTTTTTTGCACCATTGGCTTCCCAGGAATCTCCTCTTTGTATATCCCCAAAGCCTCAATTTTGCAAATCGCCAAGGCTCTGCCAGGAACATTACTGTAAAAGTCCAGTTTATGTATGGAGAGGATCCAAGCAATGCTATGCCGGTAAGGAATGGGATTTGTTTTTCTTCTCCTATCTAGCTGTGGTTTTGTTTTCTCACACTTGGAGAGGAGCCAAAAAACTCAAATCTGAAATTGTCTGTTAAAAATGTCTAAATATAGAACTTTCTGTGTGGATGTGGTTCGAGGTCTCCTGCTGTCTGTCGCTTACTAGTTGTGTGACTGTTTCACTGGTATGTACTTCAACGAGCTCATCTGGAAAATGGGAATAACCGTGCTTCTGGAGCCCTCTTCCCTCCTTGTCTGGGGGCTTCTTGGGAGTTTCCTTGCTCTCTCCTGGGACTTCCACTCCTTCTGATGAGGTTTAGGGGTTTAGGGGTACTGGGACCCCAAAATCACATTGCACAGGTCCTGCCCAAAAGAATTTGACCCGAGCCTTCTTTCAGCCAAGGTTTATTAGAAATTTATTTATTGTTTCCTTTTTGGGGTCTAGATCCCATCCTCATCACTTCTACACTTGCTCTTTCCTGGCACCTCCGCTCCTTCTACACTTGCTCTCTCCTGGCACCTCTGCTCCTTCTTGACTTGTTGTCTCCTGGACTTCTTCTCCTTCTACACTTGCTGTCTCCTGGACTTCTTCTCCTTCTACACTTGCTCTCTCCTGGCACCTCTGCTCCTTCTTCACTTGTTGTCTCCTGGACTTCTTCTCCTTCTACACTTGTTGTCTCCTGGACTTCTTCTTCTTCTACACTTGTTGTCTTCTGGGACTTCTTCTCCTTCTACACTTGCTCTTTCCTGCCACCTCCGCTCCTTCTACACTTGCTCTCTCCTGGGACTTCTCCTTCTATACTTGCTCTCTCCTAGGAAAAGGCACCTGCTGCTCCTGTATTTCCTGCCCACCTGGACTTGTTTCTGGAATTCTGGGTCTGATGGGTTTGGGATCTGAGCCCCAGAAAGGAAAAACCCTGGACTTTCTTACATGGCCAAATCTCTGGCATTCGCCTGAGGCTATAATCCCATCCACTGGCCTGTGTTTGTGGCTACACCCAATCTCCCCTCCATTGTCTTACCTCCGTATGGCCCCTGGCCATTTCCCACACTTAATCCTAGCTAGGCTTCATTGTCCCGGTCCCAGGAGTTCTGTTCACTCCAGCTTACTGGCCGGCTCTCATCCACATCTCCTTAGACCCCTCCTCCAGTCACCCCAAACTATTTGGCCACTCCTAGATCCCTTCCACGGTCTTTCTGTATGTAAGGTCCATCTTGTCTCCATTAAAGTGCTCATATTCCTAAAATCTAGCCACTGCTCAGATTCTTAGAATCTAGCCCATACTTGCAGACTCCTAGATTCCTCAAGAGTCTGGCAATATGGCGGATCTTTAATAAACCTTTAAATTTTGTTTTTGACTGAAAGAAGGCTTGGGTCGAATTCTTTCAGGCAGGACCCGCGTGTCGTGATCTTGGGGTCCCAGCATCCCTAAACCTCTAGACCTCATCATAGTAGGGGAGACAACATGCAAATGGTTATATGCAAAGCAAGTGATATATGGAATTACTAGGAAATAATGAACAGAGGAAAGGCACTAGAATTGAGAGGAGCTGGGGAGGGCTTCCTGAAAGGTGGGACTTAAAGGAAGCCAGAGCAGTCAATCATCAGAGCAAAGCAGGGAGGGCATTCCAGGCCTGGGGGACGCCAGAGAAAGTGCCCGGAGCCAAGACATGGAAGGTTTTGTTTGCAGCAGTGCGAGGAGACCAGTGTCACGGGATCACAGAGTATGGGTCAGGGAAGTGAGGTGTCAGAAGGAGGCCAGTTAGGGAGGGCTTGCAGTGCCAAACATCATTTTGTATTTGTTCTGAAGGCCACAGGGAGCTACAGAAGTTTATTGAGTAGGGCCAGGGGTGACATGGAAATCACTTTAGTGGCTGGGTGGAGGCTGGGCTGGAGGGGGGAGCCTTGGGGCAGGCAGAGCCCCAGCAGGTCCTGCAGTGGGCCAGGTGTGGGGGGCTGAGGGTCTGCACCGTGATGGGGGCAGCATCAGAGCAGAGGAGGGGGCGTGTGTGAGAGATGCTGCGGAGCTCAGGGCCAAGGTTTTCCGTCTTTCTCCTCTTTGGTTTCTCCTCCATGTAACAGCCACCTTGAGATCCCCCGGCCTGGATCTGGTGATGTCACTGGCCCAGAATCCTCTGTGGCGTCCTTTAGGATAAAACTACAAAATCCTCTGCCTGATAATTAAAGCCCCCATGTACTTTTCTGGTCTTATTTCTTATTATTTCCCAATAAGGCAGTAATAAATATATAACATATTTGTTGTTGAATCCTTTTTCAGTCATGTCTGACTCTTGTGACCCCATTTGGGGTTTTACTGGCAAAGATACTGGAGTGGTTTGCCATTTCCTTCTCGAGCTCGTTTGACAGATGAGGAAACTGAGGCAAACAGAGTGAAACGATTTGTCCAAGGTCACTCAGCTAGTGTCTAAACTCAGGAAAACAAGTCTTCCTGACTTCAGGCCAAGCATTCTATCCACTGCACCACCATTTATATAATTATTGTAATTTAAATTTATTTATATTATAATAAATATACTATACGGTATAATAAATACCTAGGTAGTGCTGTGGGTAGAGTGCTGGGCCTGGAGTTAGGAAAACATGAGTTCAAATGTGCCTGCAGACACTTCTAGTTGTGTGGACCTGAGCAAGTCATTTTACCTCTGCCTGCCTCTGTTTCCTGATCTATGAAATGGGAATAATGATAGCACCTCTGACCCGAGTTGTCATGAGGCTAAGATGAGATAATATTTGTGAAGTGCTCAGAACAATGCCTGGCACACAATAGACTCTTAATAAATGCTTATACCCTACCTTGTTTTCCCCCTGCTGCCCCTTACGCCCTCTTTCCCCTTCCCAGCAGTCTGCTTGCTGCCCCGCGGTTACAACATTCCACTCCCTCTGCCTAGCACTCAGGCAGCTGTTCCCTCAAGTCTGAGGGGCGCCCCCCATGGGCCAGACTCTCCCTCATGGAATCACTTTACAAGAGTGGAAGCTCCTTGAGGACAGGTCTGCATCCTTTTCTGCTTCTGTAGCCAGCCCCGTACCACACAGAAGGCTAGTCAGTATTTGTGGGATTGACCAGAGGGCAGCTCCAGGGTCTACACCCTGCCCTCTTCGCTGGACGGGCAGGTGTGCCAGTGACCCCGGGGCCCTCTCTGGGACATTTGGTCCTCACTTGCCTCATTTCCATCTCCTCACATCTTCCCCCTTTGCTTCCCATTTCTGCACGGCCTTGCTCTCTGGGGGACAGGAGCGCTCTGTCTTTAGCTTTGGATTCCCCCCATCTTGGCGTGTTGGAAGTGGTCAGTAGAGATCTGGTGAATGAACGAATGAATGCATGCATGAGAAAGGCTCCAGAGCTCCGTGTCCTCCTGGATAGGTCCTGCTTGGGCCAGCTGTTAAGCCTGTCTCATCTTTGCCTGGGCCAGATGCTTCCTTATGGTCTATTGAAGCAGAATGCCATGGGCCGCGTGGGGCCCGTAGATAAGCAGGTGCTGACCGCTCCGTGCTAGACAGACTCTCCCGGAGAACGTGCCGTGGGCAGGGCCCGGGAACCGTCCCACATCTTCATGTGTCTGTGGGTAAATCCTGTCACTAGAAAGTCTATTGATTTTGGTGTCTAAGTTAGCTTAAATGCTTAGGAAAATGTGTGTTGGTGAGAGCTCCAGGGTGAAGGAGTCTCTTTATAGCCATGGGCGGTAATCCTACAAGTGTTAAACCCTCAAAGTAGGAGAAGGTCATTCAGAATTGCCTGGCAGTGTGTGACCGTGGTAGGATGGGCCCTGGCATGCTCGCCACTTTGTAGCCAAGCAGTCATACGCGTAAGGGGTATAAACATTTAATGGCATTGTAATGATGTGTAATTTGTGTTCATGATTTTGGACGTGATAGTTTTCGTACCAATGAAAATGTTATGCCGAGGACCTGCGTGTGAGTTCCGTTTTCTGGAGCTTCTGCCTCTGAGTTGTGTGACCGTCACCTCTCTGTGGCTCAGTTTCCTCATCTGTAAAGTAGGGCTCCTAGTGCTTGCCCAGGCTGCCCGCGGGCTTTTGTGGGTTGAAGCCTTTTCTGTGGTGTTATCATGTCATCGTTAGCAGTGCCCTCTCAGAGTGCTCCCAACCCAGGAAGCCGTGGGGGAGGCAGGATCAGGAGCCAGAGGGCCCGAGTTGGCATTTCCGCTCTGCCATGTTCCGTGTGATGTGGAGCCTGTCCTGTCCCTTCTCCTCTGGGCCTGCCAGTGAAGAGGCTGTGCTGGACGCCCACTGTAAATCATGGTGCTTGGTGGCATCCTTTTCCTCTCTAGCCTGTCACAGGATAGTTTGTAGATACTCACAGTTTCCAGGGGAGGTAAGTGGCCATCGGTTTACGGAGAGGCTCGAGTCTGTGCCCAGGGCTTGCCCCTGGTGGGAGAAACGGACACGCACGGAACAGTCTGTGTCTCCATCTGAATGAGGCCTGGCTGGGCGCTTCCCTGGAGCAGAACCTCTTGGCTCACGGGCACCAACCCAGCCCCTGCCGATGGTGCAGGGACACGAGGGGACGCGGGGGGCACGTTGTGTATGTGACTTCACGAGGGACGCGTCCCGTCGGCCGGCCCCTCGTTCAGTTTTCAGGTTAACCGGAATGAGACCGTACAAGTAGGATCACTCCCGTTTTGCAGTAAAGGAAATTTAGGCTCCACTGCCTCGTAGAGGCAGGGTCAAGGACTTGAACCCAGGTCCCAGAGCTGAAGGGGACCCGAGAGGTCATCTGGTCCAGTTCCTTCATTTTGCAAACCAGGAAAGTTGCGTGACTTGGATCCAGCTCGTCCTGACGTGGAATCCCAGCCTCTTCCCAGCGGCCCGTGGCCTCTGAATTTCAGGGGCTGGTCTTCTGCCTCAGCATTCCCTGCTCTTTGTAGTACTCCTCCTCCCCCCGCATGGCTGTGTTTGTACTTAATGGGCTCCCAAGAGAATTTTTCTTGTCATTTATTATCCTACCAGTTTGTGCATGTTTTAGTCCAGACAACACTGTTACTTAGGCTCAGGACCTCAGCGTTACTTCACCAAAGCAGGGAATGTTCATCCTCAAATTGAGGCCACATTTCAGCGTTTCATAGAGTCACAGCACTGGAGAACTGGAATTGGCCATCTATCTAGTCAAACCTATACATTTATTTATATAAATTCTAACTTACTTTCATAATGAAATTTAATATGAAGAAAAGAGGAAATAGTTTCTTGCCCCTCATTAGATTTAAATAAGACTTGAAGAATTTTTGGTGAATCTGTAACTCGCCCTTGGATCAGACATTTGAAGGAACACGACTTTATTAATGAGTTTTGTGAGTAGGCCCCTTGCTGACCAAGGCACACGCCCCGCAGCTATGATACCAGGAGTTCCTCCCACGTGACCGTGAAACGTTCAGCTTTGTGATGACGCAGTTTCAACAACGCACTGTTATTCGTTCCAGGTCATCTTTGGCAAATCCAGCTGTTCAGAATTTTCAAAGGAAGCCTACACAGCTGTAGTGTATCATAACAGGTACCAAATTCAGATGATTTCTTTCAAAGTCCCCCTTCCCAAGTACTTCCTCATTGACATGATTATCGAGCCTTTCCTGTGTTTTCTGTATGTTGTGCTTCATTGCGTGTGCCAGGTTCTAGAGAACTGATGTCATGCTTGTGATTTTCTTCCTGTAGGTATGCATTGACTCTTTTTATCCCACATGGCAGTTTTGAATCCCAAACTCTGGTGGCTGAGTATTGCTGGAGGAAATAAACATTGTGCTTACTGAGTTCACTCCACATTCAAATTGTCTGACCTTAGCTGGACCTTGGATGCCGTGATCGTATCTTTTATTCATCTCTAGTTAACTGCCTGTCAGATATTTCATATCCAATGTGTCTAATCCTTTATAGTCTTTTTTCCCTCCAAGTGACAGTGTGGTGCATTGGATAGAGTGGGGACCTTGGAGTCAGAAAGACCTGGGCTCAAACTCTGACACTTCCTAGCTATGTGACCTTGGTCAAGTCACCTTTGTCTGCCTCAGTTTCTTCACCTGTAAAATGGTGAAAGTGGATTCAGTGGCCCCCAGAGTCCCTCCCACCTCTGAGTCTGATTCCTCTCTTCCTGCCTTCCCTTGGTCCATCTCACCAAATGACTTTCTGCTTTGGGGGGAGCGGCAAGACCGCTGAGTACAGACGGACTTTCCTAAATCTTCCTTTTCACCCTGGCATTTTCCCCTGTTATCAGCCCACCTCATGTCCCCAAGAAGAATGTGCCCTGCAGTTCTCAGCATGGCCTTCGTGACTTCTAGACTCTTCCAGCTCCTGTGTTCCCTGATGGTGCCTTTTCCCTCCTATGCAAACCCTTCCAAGACGTCATCCCCTCGACTCTCCTTTGGGCTCAGACTTGCTCTTCCTTCTTCCCCCGCTCCTTCTCAGAGCTCAGGTCTTCCCTTTCACATCCAGACATGAAGCACAGAAAGAGGGTGCCTGCCCTGTCTGTCCCCAGAGTCACTGTCCTTCCTCATCAACCCCCCCCCACCGTCTTGTTTGACCTCTCCGTCACTTTGCTTTCCTGGGTTAGCGTCTCCTAGCCTGCTGAAAATGGGTTTGTCTTCAGCTTCTGTCCTCATGCTCCTTCTAATCATTCTCTTAGGGACCAGTGCTCACCTCTGTGTGTCCTCTGCCTCACCATGCCAAGGGGCCACCCGCCTATCTGACATCTTAATGGCCAGTAGATGCATTTACATGGTGCTTTCAGGTTTGCAAAGCATTTTACAAATAGTCAATAAATGTTGACTAAGCACCCACTATGTTCCAGGCACCGAGCTAAGCTCTGGAGATACAAAGAAAGGCAAAAAACATTCCCTGCCTTTGAGGAGCTCACAATCTAATGGGGGAGATTGTATGTGCAAATGACAGTGTAGGAACAAGCTATAGACAGAATAAACTGGAAATAATCAGCAGAACAACAGCACCAAAGAGCATTAAGGGAGATTGGGAAAGGCTTCCTGTAAAAAGTGGGAATTTCATTTGGCCTTCACAGCAACCCTGGGAGTAGGTGCTAGTATCATCCCTTTTTGACAGATGAGGAAACTGAGGCAGCCAGAGTGACTCGTCCAGGGTCACACAACTAGTCAGTGTCTGAGGCAGGATTTGAACTCAAGGCGAGCGCTCTAACCATTGAGCCGCCGAGCCATTGCCTGTGTGTCCTAGCAGCCCTTGCAATGCAAACTATCCCAGAGCCTCCTCATTCTGTGTCTGTGCCAGCAGATGTGTGTCTGGCTTCCTGGTTTCCATTCATTTTACCTTTCTGCCACCCCTTACTTTGGGGTCATCCTTGTTTCCTTTCTCCTCCACCTCCTCTATTCATGGGCAGAAGGATCCAGTGTGTCCCACCCCCTTTCTCTTCCCATGGCCAGCACCCCGACTCAGGCCTTCGTTGCCTCTTGTCTAGACTAACCCTTACAAGAGGCTCTGGAGCGGTGCCCTGCACACAGCTTCTTTATACTTGGTCTCTCCAGGGTGTTGTTATCAGACTCATCTTTCCAAGTTACAGCACTCATACTTGCCCACAATCCTTAGCTGGATATTCAGGAGTTTCCCTCATCTGGTTCCCACTCTGCCCTTCCAGCCTTCTCTCCTGTTTCTTCCCTCTGTGTCTCCCTCTGTGTATCTCAGCTGAAGTGAACCGTGTCTTGGTTCTGCTTTCAGGCAGGCATTGGGCTTTCCTGCCTCCACTTGTTCGCTTAAGCTGTTTCTTCTGCCCAAATTGACCACCTGTATGTGTCGGAATTCTATCTGAACACGCTGACCCATCTCAGAGACCACACATTCTTTCCTGATTGGACCCTTCTCTGAACCCCTGTAACCTGCCTTAATTATGACACTTACCCTCGTTAGCCTTCTATTTGACTTCTTAGTATCCGTGTCTGAGGGTGTGTAAGGAAAAAGACGTGCATGAGGACCGACAGAAGGCCAGCGAATCTCGTGATTAGCAGAGGGAGGAGAGGGCAGGAGCACGGGCAGAAACCAGATTGCAAGATGAAAAAGTATAGGCAGCAGGCACAGACCCTGTTTTCAGGAAGATTTTTCTATAAAGAGAATGAGATGAATGGATTGAGTGGTGTAAGAAGGTCAAGGGAGAGCTTCATTAGAATTGAGCTTGTTTGTAAGCATGGGAAGGAGACAACAGAGGGAGAAATTGAATATCCACGAGAGGAGATGATTGGAACAAAGTCTTGGAAATGGGATCCAGAGTCTAGCTTTAGGGCTGCCCTGCAGCAAGAATGGTGGGCTGCCCTCTGGGGGAGCAGGTGTGCAGGTTGCTACTACTCCAGGTAACCTCCGGGCAGTGAGATACTAGGGCTACTTCTGGTGCATGTTGGTTCCAGAGCTAGAGTTGGGTGGAAAAGAGAGGAAGAGGCCTGGAACGTTATGGGGGAGTGATGGAGGGAGGAGATAAATGGATAGAACAGAAGAATTCGTAAGGTGAGGGCTGGTTCAATGGCTGTTACCTAGTGGGTGCTTCATAAGTAAGTCTTTGTTGACATGAATTGAAAGATTGCCGAGCCACCGCAGGGAGGGTTGGCCGGTGTGAAGTTCGGTAGACTTGTAGCAGGTATACTCAGTTTGAATACATGACCATTTTCCATGAATGCTCAGCAGCTTAGGAGCTGGAGTGGAGGAAGCAAAGCATGAGGGTTATCTGGAGTGGAGAAATGCCAGTTTGGGAATGAAGGGCATCCTCGGCCAGTGAGGACTTTCAGGATGGTGCTAGTGAATTGCTCAAGCACATTCCTTCCCAGTTCAGCTTTATATGGAAGCACCTGAAGCCAGTAGTGGAACAAGACGTGGTAGAATAAGGACATGTAGATGTTCCTGTGTGGGAGCTGATGGGCATTGGTCAGTTAGGACCAGAAGTCTTACTCAAGTCCATAGTAGCCTCAGTTTGATTGTGTGTAACCCTTGAGTGAAAGAGTGAAATGATTCTGAACCTTAGGCCCGTAATGTTCAGGATGAGCTCTAAACTCAAATCTAAGTGTCGTGGAGGTCAACAAGGCTTTCTTCAAAGACATCCCAAGCTGCTACTTGTAGACACAGAATCCTGTGCCAGTCACTGTAGGGGCTTAGCAGGAATCCCTGTGATTACCACAGCACCTGAGAACAAGAGTAAACTGGAAGGCCCACAGAGTGGTTGGGTTTGTTTCCTTTAAACTGGTCATTGTAGAAGGAAGAGTTAGTTTACAATAATCACAGGAAGCTATTTGTGTCACAGATCCAAGTGTGATGATGCTTTCCATCTTCCGAAAGAAAAGAGGACACAGTGAATATACAGCTTCTTTTCCCCTCTTTATGAAAGGGCCATTGAGGAATAATTTTTAAATTGCAGTGTTCTGTTTGTTTTAATTTTCAGAAGGCTAAAGCGCTGTAGGAATAAAATTTAGTAGTGAAATGTCTATTTACAAGAAAGTGTCTTTCCTTTTGTGTCCTTTGATTGTGTTGAGATCAGCATATCAACTTAAATATTGTTATAAACTATGTGAATGACCAGGAGTGACTTTAAAGTAGACGTTGCGTTTGTGCCGTATCGCTGACTTTTCATCGAAGTTTCTTTCTTTTTCTGCTAAGGTCCCCAGATTTCCATGAAGAGATCAAAGTGAAGCTTCCCGCCACCTTAACGGACCATCACCACCTGCTTTTCACCTTCTATCACGTTAGCTGCCAGCAGAAGCAGAACACGCCCCTGGAGACTCCAGTCGGCTACACGGTGAGCATGCTCCGTGCCGTGGATAAACCACTGACAAGGAGAAAGTGTTATACGGTGATAATTATAAAATTTAGGCTATTACTGGATGTAAATACCATGGTTCTAGCAGCTCCTGTTTTTACAAAGAAAAAGATTTCTGTTTTGCATGGTCGTGAGTCTTCTTATGACTATAACCTACCATGTTCTAGGCTCCTGTACGAGGAGAGCCAGCTTAGAATGTCAGACCAAGACGTCTTCTTTGTACCATGTGATATTCTGTCATACATGGGGTCTTTTCTAATATAGACCAATATCTAAGGTAATGTTCCCTTTCCTTTAAAGTGGATACCAATGCTTCAGAATGGGCGGTTGAAGACTGGTCAGTTCTGCTTGCCCGTCTCCCTGGAAAAGCCACCACAGGCTTATTCGGTGCTCTCTCCTGAGGTCAGTATATCTCATGTTGACATTCTAGAGAAATTAAGGAAGAAGTAAAAATCCACAGAAAATATGGGAAAAAATTCCGTTTGGCTGGTTTACTGAGATGGGTCCTATTCTGAAACAAAACGATATTTTAATCATTGGAGGGTGTGTGATTTCATTTGCGTGTGCATTCCCTCTGCTGCTAGGGATGATAGCCTTTCCATTCCTTCCTGGGCAGAGGTTCTCAGGGAGTTTCTGTGGCCAGAATGCACAGACCCTTTACCTCTGCAGTGCGTTTTTCAGCACTGAGCCAGGCTGCTGATGGGAGGCCCGTCGTCCCGCCCTTCAGCTCGTCTTGGAAGCGTTCCTGCAAAGTGAAGATGTGCCACAGCTTTGCTCTGGCTTGCCTGCAAAGGCCACGGGCTGGCTTCATGTCTCTAGACATAGACTGTGGACAGTCTGTGAAAACTCCAGCTCAAGAGAACCGTAAAAAATGATTTACTCCAGGCATCCTTCTGGTTCCCATGCTGCCTGCCTAGGAGTTTGTGTGTTTCTGAGTTAGATAAACCAGGAAGGGCCAAGTAGCTAGAAGCTCAGTGACAAGTCCCGTTCATTGATGATTGATCCAAAATTGAAATGAATCGTTATGAAAATATGTAACAATAAAACAGTCGTTCACGGAAGTCTAATTTCCAGGGAACACCCCTTTGCAGGAAGTGAGTTTGTAGACTCCTCTTCCCTTAGACCCGAGCTTCTCATCCAACACATAGTTCATCACAAGAGCCTTCAATACGAAATATATCGTTAAGGAGCTTCTCACGTTACTCATGACGGCATCGGGCAGTGCTTAGGCAGCTCTAGGAAGGGAGGCTGAGGACGTCTTCTTTTCCTCAGTGTGTCAGGAGGACCCATCCCTGCTGGGCAGCAGCGAGTCTGAAGGCCTTGGCCTGGCTCCCACTCGCTCAAATGGCAGGACAGATCATTGCCCGCTTCTGATCCCACGAGCTTTGTTTTCACAACCTCCTCAAGAGGAAAGGGAGTCAGTTGGCAAAGTGGATTTAAGCTTATCTTGTGAAAGTTTTATTTTGATACGTTTTGTTTTCATTTCCTTTTCCATCATTCTCTGCCCAATGTTACCCATTGTTATAAGGAACTTAAAAAAAAAAAGTTTAGCACAACTTAATCCCATCAGCCAGTTGTGACAGTGTGTACACACAGTCTCTGCACCTTAGGCCCTGCTTCCCTCCTCTGCTGAGAAGGGAAAGAGGTTCATCTTTCCTCATCTGTAGAATGGGCACATCATAGCACCTGCCTTCCAGGGTTGTTGTGAGGACCCGGTGAGATAATGTTCGTAAGTTGCTCAGCAGAGTGCCCGGCACACAGCAGGCACTTAATAGGTGCTTGTCTCCTTTCTTCCTTTTCTCCCGGAACGGGCATGGCTACTCCTCTTCATTTCCTCTTGTGCCCCTTCTGGTTCCACTCACTTCGCTCTGCGCAGGCTTGTGCCGAGAGGGCTCCCACCCTCCTCCGCACTCTTCTGTTCCATCACCTTCTCTCTCATAGTTGGATGAGCCGAGGCTCCATTTTTCGTGCTCTGCTGTCATGAACGACGCTCCAGGAGCCCCGGCTTCTGTCTCGGACGGCTCTGTAGGGTGGCCAGGCATCTCGGCATTTCTGACATTTGAGACACTTTGTTCACACGATTCCAAACTTTTCAGGAAAGTCTGGATCATCTTTACACAGTCCTCCCAACATCGAGGATTTCCATTCTTTGACATCTTTGTCCATTTTATGGGGGGGTGAAACCACAGAGTTTTGGGGGTTAAGAATCCAAGCATATCTTAAACTGAAAGAACAACAAAATGAAATAATAAGTATGATGATGGTAAGAATTAGTATTATCTCATTTTACCACCATCAGAACCCTGGGAGGGAGGTGCTGTTATTATCCCCATTTTACAGATGAGGAAACTGAGGCAGAAGGCGGTTAAATAACTTACCCCGGGTCACGCAGTTAAGGGTCTGAGACCAGATGTCAACTTAGATCTTCCTGACGCCAGGTCCAGCGCTCTGGCCTCTGTGCCACCGAGCTGCCTCTAGTAACAGACTGCTGTGAAATCCTAACACCCAGTGAAGATCTTGGTGAGGTTATATATCTCACCATTTTCCCTAAAAGAGGCGGGCCTCTGGGAGTGCAGAGTATCGTGCACGCTGTCAGACTTGGCCGATGCGTCGGTTGTTTTTGGTGACTATTTTTCTTTGTTATAAGAGAAGTCTTGGAAGCAGGGAGTGAGGCACAGGGAAAGGATGTATTTAAAAATGCCATGAAAGCAAAAAATATCAACGAAATCTACAAAAGTACTTTTAAATAAAAAATTTCAGCGTGTCTTAAAAGATAAATGCCGTCAATGTTGAAGTATAGAAATTATAGGTAACACATTCAGACATACTAAGAAGATAGATGGTTTTCTGTATATTTTAAGTGCGTGCTGTCTGTGAAAATGAAAACTCAGCTCGCTGAGTCCTCTAAAACATAGAACACGATTTAAAGAAATACAGTCGTGATACACATGTGGTCGACTTTGTCTTCCTTCGGTAGTCCTAGGTCTGCGATGACTTACACTGGGGGATCACCTTGCCACCCGAAGGAGAGCTCTCCGTGTGTCCTCAGGGTCGGGGGTCGCTGCAGACGTCCTGGCTATGGGATCACTTGTGTGGCTCGGCCTGAACGCCCCCTTTTCTTGGGTTTTCTCCCGCTCCGGCTGCTTGGCTGCCAGGGCCTCAGTGTCCCTCCCGACTGCCTGTTTCCATTTAGAGATGAGCCCATCATTTCCACTGCCACTTTGCTTCCGTGGTCTTTCTCCCATCAGAATGACAGGCACCAAGCAAGTCACTCCCACTGTCTTTGCAAAATCTTTTTTTTTTTTTTTTTTTTTTGAGGTAGTTGGAGTTAAGTGATTTGCCCAGGGTCACATAGCTAGTAAGTGTCAGGTGTTTGGTCTGAGGCCAAATTTGAACTCGGGTCCTCCTGACTTCAGGGCTAGTGCTCTATCCACTGCTCCACCTAGCTGCCCCATAAAATCTTTTTCTAAATGTCCTTGTGCCAACCAGCTGATAGGCCAATACTCTCATAACTCTTTTCTTCCCCCACTGATCTGTTGGCTTAGATCAGTCACCCAACATTTATTAAGTGTTTGCTGTGTACTAGGAACTGTGTTAAGTACTGGGAATACAGAAAAAAGTAAAAATAGTCCTGCCCTCAAGGATCCCCCATTCTGATGGGCACACAATATGAGAACAACTGGGGCAGGTGATGGGGAGATGACGCCTCTTGTCAAAGGCGGCATTTTAGATGGAGTTTGAGGGAAGCCATGGGGCAGAGGGAGGTAGAGGGGGCATGGCCAGGCCCGGGAGCGGGTGGCGGGGATGGCCAGTGAAAAGACGTGTGGTGGGGAGATGGAGTGCTGTGCTGTGCTGTGGATTATGGATTTTGCAGACTGGATTAGTCGTTAACAGACATAGTTCATGTGGAACGTATTTTCAGCCTAGCTGAGGATCTCTCTGTTCACTCGTCACAGGTGCCTCTCCCGGGAATGAAGTGGGTAGACAACCACAAGGGTGTTTTTAATGTGGAACTTGTTGCTGCGTCTTCTGTTCATACCCAGGTAAGTGTGCAGTGAATCTGTGATCAGATTTCATTTGCATCATTACAAGACTCCTTTATGAGGAGATTTCACAAGAGGATTCTGTGTAAAGAAATGTATCTCTTTTTTTTTTTTTTTTCAATTTTTTTTTTAGGCAATTGGGGTTAAGTGACTTGCCCAGGGTCATACAGCTAGTAAGTGTCAGGTGTTTGGTCTGAGGCCAGATTTGAACTCAGGTCCTCCTCACTTCAGGGCGGGTAGTCTATCCACTGTGCCACCTAAATGCCCCCTAGAAATGCATCTCTTAAAGGGCTCTGGTTATGAGCTCCATTTAATTGACTGAGGTTTCCACTGGGGCATTTCTTACTGATTTTGTTGTCCCATGTGCTGACATTTGTTACTGATCCCAAATTTGAATGACCTGATTGACGTAGGGCTGTGAAAGCAAGTGATATTCTAATTTGAGTGGACAGCAGGAGCGAACGTTACCATAATTCAGTCCTGTGGTTCCTTCCAGTAGGCCTGGACATGCCACAAAGTTTGGGTCGGTATGCTAGATTTGTGACCCTGGACAAGGCCCTGACCCTCTCAGTGGCGCAGGGACTTAACTTGTTAGGATTGCAAGCTGTAGAATTTGAATCTGTCTGCCTTGGTAGAGGGAGCGCTTCACTGGCACTGATGAATCCATGGGGTCTGGTTTAAAAACAAACAAACAACTTTGTATCTCTGGTACTGTCGAGATATTATTATGAAAATAATGCACCCCTTGGAAAGAAACTCTTTTGTAATGAAGAAAGCAATACTTTGACAAAATTATTGACCTAGATTATGTAAGGGCAGCCAAGTGGCACCATGCTAAGTGCACTGGGCTTAGAATCTGCAAGACTCATCTTCGTGAGTTCAGTTGTGGCCTCAGACACTCACTAGCTGTGTGACCCTGGGCAAGTCACTTCACCCTGTCTGCCTCAGTTTTCTCATCTGTAAAATAAACTGGAGAAGGAGATGGCAAACCACACCATCATCTTTGCCAAGAAAACCCCAAATGCAGTCATGAAGAATCAGATGCGACTGAGCAGCAACAGAAGAGCACATAAAATAGTATTGGTTTGCCTGATGTACTGGACAGAAATGCTTTCCCAGATAGCTTCTCCCTTTTAGGATACACATGATCTATAAGCAGAATTGTGAATTCTGGTCAATTCGCCCAGCACCTTCAAAATGCAAGGCACCATGATAGGTTCTAGGAAAGCAAGGACAAAAAAGAAGCGAGTCCATGCCCTCAAGGAGCTTACAGTTTAACGAGGAGAAAGACTATGGACCAGGGTGAGCCAATTTAAATGTATACATAATAAATAAAAAGTAACTCGGGGCTAGGGAGAGCTAACAACTCAAAGGATCAACACATGAGCTGGGGATTCCCAGAAGTCAGAGGAGAGCATTCCAGCCTTTGGATGCCGCCTGCCTGTGTGAAAGTATGGAGGTGAGAGAAGGAACACTGAATTCACAGGGGAGAGGAATGGGAAATCAGACCAGGAGCATGAGGCGAGCGGGGGCCGTCGTGGCTTTTCGCCCAGGGAGGCGTGAATGAAGCACATCAGGCTGGCAGCTCCGCGGAGGGTGGGAGGATGAACTGGTTCGCAATTTCTTCTCCTCCCCAGCTCCAGCCCTCATACTTGGGGACTTCAATATACACATTGACTTTCTCTCAACCTGCTTGCCTCCCACTCTCTACTCCTCAACGCCTCCTCAGCCACACAAAAATGCGGTCATACTCTGGATCTTGCCACCGCCCCATAAATGTACCACCTCCGTGTTAAGAATTCTGAGATCTCCTCCTCATCTATTGGCCTTTTATCTCTTCCTTGGTCTTCTCTTACATACCTCTACTCCTCAACCATGTTGTGGCCCCCACTCCCTAGACCCCTCAGTCCTTTCCCGGGCCATTTCCCGTCCTAGGTGTTGACCTTCTGCCTGTGCAGGTGACCCCCTTCCATCCAGTCTCCTGCAGCAGACTGCCCTGCCTCTCTCCTCCCTGTACTTTCACTTCTCAGTCTCTCCCTGTCCTGTGCCTCCTTCCCTACCTCCTGCAAACATGCTCTTGTCTCCCCATCGTCAAAAAACGCTCCTTTGATCCTTCCATCCCTGCAAACTCTCATCCCAGTTCTCTTCTGCCCTTTGTGGTTAAACCCCTTGAGAAGGCTTTCTATACTGGGTGCCTCCCTTTCCTCTCGCTCTCTTAACCCCTTTTAATCTGACTTCCACTGAAACCGCTCTCTCCAAAGTTACCAAGTCTGTCTTATTTGCCAAATCCGGTGGCCTTTTCTCAGTCCTCCTTCTCTGTGGCCTCTGACACTGTCCATCACCTCTCCAGCTGGATCTCTTCTCTCTAGGGTTTCAGGACATGACTCTCCCGGTTCTCTTCCCACCTCTCTCACCGCTCCTCCTCTGTCTCCTTTGCTGGATTCTCCTCCAGATCACGCCTCTAACCAGAGGTGTCCCTCAGGGCTCTCTCCCATGGTCTCATCTCTTCCCCTGCTATCCTACTTCACTTGGGGAGCTCATCAGCGCCCATGGATTTAATGACCGTCTCCATGCTGAAGATTCTCAGATCGACCTGTCCTGCCCTGATCTCTTATCTCCAACTGCCTTGCAGAATTTCAAACTGGATATCCTGTAGACCTCTTAAATTTACCATTTGTAAAGCGAAGCTCATGAACCCTCCCCTCATCCTCCCTATTATTGTCTCCTCACTAATTCTGACCCCTCATACCCAGCCTGCTGCCAAGACCCGTGGATTTCCCCTCTGCAGCCCCCTTCTCTCCTCTGACGCTGCCCCCACCTTGTGTCTTCAGCTGCCTTTCAGAAGCTTAAACTGGACTTGTGCCAAAGTGGCCTCTGCCCGCTGCTCCCTTCCTTCCCCAGTGCTCTGACTGAGCCTTCGAGTACGCAGTCTGGAACCCCGGGGAGGTGTCAGCAGTGGGGCCCCGGGAGGCCGGAGTGCCAGTCACCCTCCTGTCGTGTTCTCTCTTCTAGGACCCTTACCTGGACAAGTTCTTTGCTCTGGTTAACGCCCTGGATGAGCACATGTTCCCAGTCCGAATAGGAGACATGAGGATCATGGAAAATAACTTGGAAAACGAATTGAAAAGCAGTATTTCAGCTTTGAATTCCTCTCAGTTGGAGCCAGTGGTGCGATTTCTTCACCTGCTGCTTGATAAGCTGATTCTTCTTGTTGTGCGGCCACCCGTCATCGCCGGCCAGATAGGTAATGTACCCCGGTGTAAGCAGGCCTGAGCCTGATGAGCTGACGCCTTGGGTAGCCGAGGGCAGAATTGTGGCCGTCCCTCAAGGGAAAGTCAAGTTACATTCTGGATTAGGGCTGGGGGGGTAGGATATATGGATAAGTAATTTTAATACAAAATAATAGAATATAAGTGCATAAGAAAGCGCCCTCTGAGGCTTGAGGGAAAGAACCTTGCTGATCAGATGCCAGGGAAAGCTTGTATGAAAGATGCACTTTTCCTTTGGGCTTTAAAGATGAGATAGGTCTGAACAGGCAGAGGCAAAGGAAGGACGTTCTGGGACTGAGAGAGTAGAAAATGCCTGGAGACCAGAAAATCCAGGGCATGTTCAGCAAGAGAGGAGGCTGGAAAGACAGGGTCAGAGAATGGGCCTTAATAAATGCTGATCACATGACTATGGTGGTTGCCGTGTGACGAATGCAGAGGGCATTGTAGAAAGAGAAGTGGTAGCTGGTTGGCTGTGTGGAGTGAGGAGTTGGAGATGATGCCAGTGTTACAAACCCAAGTGATTGAAAGGATGGGGCAGCCCAGGACAGAAATGAAGAAGGCTCTTGCGGGGTAAAGCCTATGAGTCCTGTTCTGAACAGGCTGCACTTGGGATGTGTCCAGGACATCTGGCTTGAAATGTCCAGTGGGCAGTCCGTGGCGTGGGAGTGGCGTTCAGGAGATCACGAGGCTGCCTAGAGAGGATAATTAAATGTATGGGAACTGATGAGATCCCCGAGAGAGCAGAGAGACAGAGAGAGAGAAGAGGCCCAGGGAACAGCCATATTTACAGTATGGATAATGATCCAGCAAAGGCGGCTGAAAAGGAGAGAAGGTGTCAGAGAGGTGAACCAAGGGAGAGGGTTAGAAAAACTCAATGGAGAGGATGATCAGCAGTGTCACATGCATTGGAGAGGTTGGCAAGTCAAGGTAACAAGCGTTATGAAGTGCCTACTGTATGCTGGGCACCATGTCAGATGCTGAAGATACAAAGGCAAAAGACAGACCCTACCTTTGAGAATCTAACGAGACAGACAGGATGTGAGAGTGATGCAGGTGATGTGTGGCACTGAGTGTTGGACCCATCATAGATTTATCTGCTGCAAGCTAAACATTCAGATTCAATAAAAGCAGTGGCCCAAGGCAAGACAACCACCAGAAGATTTAATGTCAGCAGATTAGAGTGCTTCTCTGAGTTGGAACAGTTCATTGCTCACTTGGAAGGAAAACTGAGTCAATACAGAGTTGGCAACAGTGGAGCAGAAAAGGAGCGGGCAGCTTTCAGAGACTGGGTACACAGCACTGCATTTACTCATCTGGGCCAGGATACTCACAAACATCAAGATTGGTATGGGGAAATTTAGAAACTGCTAAATGAAAAACGAGAACTCCACAGGGTTTACCAGCAGTATAGTTCATCCATCTCTGAGAAGACAGCATTTAATTCCATCAAAAGTAAAGTGCAAGAAGGGGCAGGTAGGTGACACAGTGGATAGAGCTCCGGCCTTAGAGTCAGGAGGGCCTGAGTTCAAATCTAGCCTCAGACACTTGACATTTATTAGCTGTGTGGCCCTGGGCAAGTCACGTAACCCCAATTGCCTCACCAAAAACCCAAAAAAAAAAAAAAAAAGTGCAAGCAAAGCTTAGAGAGATGCAGGATTCTTGGCTCAGTAAGAAGGCAGATGAAATTTGGTTTCACACTCATAATAACAATCCAAAGCGCTTTTATGATGCCCTGAAGGCTATTTATCAACCAGAGACCTATGGTGCATCTTAGCTACTCAGTGCTGATGGAGCCACATTGAGTAGAGATGAAGGACATGATCCTGGAGAGATGGGCTGAACGCTTTCCTGGTGCACTCAGCAAACCATCATCAATCAATGCTGAAGCCATTGATCGCTTACTTTAGGCTGAAGTCAGTCCATCTCTAGCCGAGCTTCCCACTGAAGCAGAGGTTTTGAAGGCCACGAGGCTCCTCTCGTGTGGCAAATAAAGCCCCTGGTGCTGCTTCTGTTCCAGCCGAGATCTACAAGCAGGGGCTCCCCTGCTCGTACCGAAGCTGACTGCAATGTTCCAGGTTATATGACAAGAGGAGGCTATCCCCTAGGAGTTCAAGGACGCCTCCATTGTCCGTCTCTATCAAGGTGAAGGAAATCTATTGTTTTATGACGATCACAGGGGCGTCTCTCTCAGTCATTGCTGGAAAGATTCTTGCCAGAGTCCTCCTTAATAAGCTGATCCTTCATCTGGAAAATGGTCATCTACCTGAGAGCCAGTGTGGCTTCAGAAAGGGCCCAGGAACGGTCGATATGGTGTCTGCTGCCTGACAACTCCAGGAGAAATGCCAGGAGCAGAACAGAGGTCTGTGCACAATGTTTGTGGATCTGACCACGGCCTTTGATGCTGTTAGTCTTGAGGGCTTGTGGAAAATTGTGTCAAAATTTGGTTGCCCAGAGAAGTTCATAGGCATTGGACATCGGACCCGTGACAGCGTGCTGGATAACGGACAATGTGGTGCATGCCCAGTCACCGGTGAAGGGAAGCAAGGCTGTGTGCTTGCTCCCGTGCTTTTTAGCATGATGTTTTCAGCAGCATTGTCAGACTCCTTCAGTGAGGCTGAAGACAGCATCAAGGTCAGCTACCACGCTGATGGTAAATTATTTCACTTGAAAAGGCTGCAAGCCAAGACTAATGTGCAGGGTGCAGACTGTGATGGTGCACTCAGTGCAGCCTCTGAAGCTGAGATGCAGCAAAGCACGGATCAATTCTGTGCTGCCCATGCTCATTTTGGCCTAACAATTAACACCAAGAAAACAAAGTGCTCCGTCTGCCGCCGCCACCATGCTTCCACACGCGCACCTGTCAGTCACAGCAAGTGGAGAAGTGTTGAATGCTGTGAGTAGGTTCATTTACCTCGGCGATGTACTTTCCAGGGACGTTCACATTGGTGATGAGGCTGACACACGTATTGCCGGAGCTCGCTCAGTATTTGGGAGGAAAGCGTGGGAGAGAAGTGGTATCAGACTGCCTGCCGAACTGAAGGTCTTCAGAGCCGCTGTGCTGACCTCATTGTTGTGTGCCTGTGAAACCTGGGCAGTCTACCAGCACCGTGCCAGGAAACAGAATTGCTTCCATTTAGATTGTCCTAGGAGGATTGTGAAGATCACCTGGCAGGTTAAGTTACCAGACCCCGAGGTCCTTTCTCAAACTAAACTGCCAGGCATTCAGACTCTACTGCAGAGAGTGCAACTCCAATGGGCTGGCCACGTTGTTTGGATGCCCCACAATATACTTGCCTTAAAGACTGTTTTGTGGAGAACTCACACGGAGGTCAGAAGAAGCCACACAAGGACACTCTCCAGGTTTGTCTAAAGAACTTTGGAATCGATTGTGAGATGGGGGAGGCACCGGCACAGGACTGCCCAGCGTGGTGTGTCCTCATCAGAGAAGGCGCTGTTTGATGAGTGAAACAGAATTGCAGTAGCTCAAAAGAAATATGAGATGCACAAATTTAGAGACCTCTCCACTCTGGGCGTTCATGTGGATTATTATTATCCACTCCCGACCTGTGGGAGAGCTTTCCGAGCTCACGTTGGCCTGAGCGGCCACCGTCAGACACACTCACTGTACCTTCACCCCGACATAGCGATGTTCTTTTGATCCTCTTCAAGAATGAAGGACAAACAGACAACAGTCCAATGGGGGAGATAACGTGCAAGCATCTATGGAGAAATGAAGTCTATAGGAGAGAAACTGGAGGTATTCTCAGAGGGAAGACCAGGAGGCTTCTAGGCATGAGGATATGAATAAGGAATGAGAAAGGACAATTGGGTTTGGCAATTTAGAGATGGTCCGGTACCTTTGAGAGAGCAATTTCAGCCAGGTGATGAGGTTAGAAGCCCGATTGCAGAGGGTGGAGGAGTGAATGGGAGGAAAGGGAGTGGAGGATGAGGGAGGGCCTTCTCCGGTTTGGCTGAGAAAGAGAGGAGAGGTTTAGAGGGATTGGTAGGACCTGGTGAACATTTTTTAAGGATTAAGGAGACTTGGGCATATTGTAAAGACCGCGGAGTAGTGCAGTGGCTAGAACACCAGATTTGGAATTGTGAAGCCCTGAGTTCAAATCTTCTCAGGTACTTCCTGGTTGGATGACCTTGGGTAAGTCACTTAACCTCTGTCTGCCTCAGTTTCCTCATGTGTAAGAGGCAGTTAATAGCCCCATGTACTTCAGGTAACAGATGTAAAGTGCTTTACCAACCTTAAAACACTATGTGAATGCCAACTGTTGTTGTTGAAGGAGGTCCTTGTTCAGGTTTCAGTTGAACTCATTGGCTTTTGAGATTCTTTCCAGTTCTGAGATTCTGTGACTGTTTTATTATGAGTTGAAATAGGCATAATTTTGAAAAACAGTTAATTTTTCCTTGCAGTGAGTTCTGAGACTTTAGTCTTTTCAGTATTCTCTTTTACATGAAACAGATGCTCTGTGTTCAGAGACCCAGGAAGGATGCCTCTGGTACCTGTGAGCATGGAAACCTATTGATTGTGAGCTCCTGGAGGGCAGGGATTGGCTTTTTGCCTCTTCTTGTATCCCCAGTGCTTAACCCTGTGCCTGGCACACAGTAGGTGCTTAATGTAGGCTCGGTGACTGGACTGCACATGCCCATTGGGGCAGCGTATTTTGATGAACAAGTCAGGACAGCTGACTTAGAAAAAGCTCATACCTGTCATTGCCTTTGACATCAGGATTTCCTCTCTGGCACCCCCACCCTTCTAGAGGCAGAGAGGGTGGAGGTTCTGCCCAAATAACACGAAGCTTTCCTCCTTGCCTTCTCAAGTGAACCTTGGACAGGCGTCTTTCGAAGCCATGGCTTCCATTGTCAATCGACTGCACAAAAACTTGGAAGGGAATCAGGACCAACACGGCCGAAACAGCCTTCTGACGTCGTACATTTATTATGTTTTTCGCCTGCCCAATACCTATCCCAACTCGCCATCACCAGGTACTTGGTTCTTTGACGCTAGCAGCGGGCTGAGCTGGTGTGATTTGCTGCTGTTCTCCTTGGGCGGGTGGGATGCCTGCATGACGGTCTAGGAGGGTGGACAGTGAGCAGTGTGGCTTGCTAGCCGTGCCAGGACTCGTCCTCTGGGATTCTGGTCTCCCTCTTGGCAAGCAAGGCTAAATACAACCCAATCCTAGATTGGAGAGGCACATTTGCTTACTCGGTTCTCATGAGACTGTTTGAATTTTTTGTTTGCCTTTCACTGAAGATACTTATATTTGTAAGGAAAAAAAAGGTTTGGTTGTTGTCTGTGGTGGTGTGATCTCCTGCAAGTCAGAGACAGCCACCCAGAACAGCCCTTGAGGGACTGCCTACAATATGAGAGTCGAGCCCCAAGTTCGGGCCACTTCTGCCCTTCTCCCCCTAATTAAGGCATATGCCATTTGTCCTCTCGGTGTGTTCCTGGATTTTTACCCAGTGATCTGTGATTCGCTGCCAGTGCCTGGAATGATTGACTCTTTCCAGGTGCCGATAATGTTGGATACATGCTACATATCGGTAGTCCTCAAGTCAGCAAACTTTAGTCTGTTCAGCCCAAAAGATCTTCTTGGGTCCAATTTTTAACGAGGGAGAAGGGCCTTTGGAAGCCTTTTAATTTTCCTTGAAATCTAACTGGGGAAAAAATAGGAAGAATTCTTTGCAGCAAGTCTTGGAGGAGACGTCTCCTTGGCTGGTTGTGCAGATAAAAAGCATGAGTGGCAGAAGGGGGGATTCCCTGGTGGGTGATGAGAGGGGCTGGAGGTGGGAAGGTGCTCCTCCCATCCATTGGCCAAGAGCCTGTGGTTATAACCGGGCGGCCATGGGCGCTTGTGGCTGGGGGAGGTCGGTGGAGGCCTCTGCTGATGCGGCTGAGATTGAAGTCTCTTTATCCAGGGACCATCTGGTCTCCAGTGCTGATGATCTGTGTTATCCTTCTCTGCATCTAGCGGTTCTCCTTTAGATGCAGAGGTCACTCATCTTCATGCTGGAATTTGAGGGAAGGGCTAAACATATAATCAGGCTCATTCAGGGTCTTAAGCCTTTTCTGATGGATTTCTGTTTGTGTGATTGTGTGCTATTTCACGAACCCCTGAAGGACCCGGGGGTTTGGGAGGGTCCGTGCACTATGCTACGATGGCTCGATCTGCCGTGAGACCTGCCAGCCTTCACTTAAATCGCTCCCGGAGCCTCAGTAACAGTAACCCGGATATATCCGGGACTCCGACATCTCCGGACGATGAAGTACGGTCAATCATTGGAAGCAAGGTAAGCTGACGTGCGTGTCACGTGTTTCCATGAACTTTGTTTGCGTTTTATAAATAGTGTGAAGGGAAAATGTCCAGCTGTTTGGAGTCTTATTTCTGAGGTTCTTTGGAGTTGCAAATAGCAGAGAATTCTGTGTAGGTATTGTTCTCTGAGTAGATAATCGAGTTTCTTTATGATACTGGTAAATATTCCTGTTATCCTGAACTACCTCGTGTACTTTGTAGAAAACATAGATTCTAGAGAACCCAGTCTGTCTGCCAATCCTGATTGGCTGGGCCAGGAACACTGAAGCAAAAATCAGCACGTCCCGAGCAGTCTTTTGTGTTGGACAGATCTCTCATTTCCAATCTAAAAGCCGTCAGAGACATGCCCCTCTCACTCTTCCTGCGTCCACACCAGCGCCTCAGAGGTTGTGGCCCTCCAGAGCCTGAGACAAAGGCACCCTTGTGGGCCCCCCCCCACCCTGTGCCTGGTGACCCATTATAAACTGATTTTGGTTAATAAATGTTTGTTGGATTGCATTGAAGTGAGGTGGGCTCTTGTCCCACATCCAGGCCTGTTTTCTGGGCTTTTTTGTCTCTTGTGTAACCTTTGCTGGGGGGAGTGACATGATTGCCTTGCTCTAGGGAATGGTATCATTATAGGGAGTTTGATAGGCCCCTGCTCTGCACATTAGGGCTTAGAGCATTGCCTGGGCCTCTGCCCCATGTGTCAGAGGTGGGACTGACCCTGGACCGCTGCTGCCTCTCACAGATCCCATTAGAAGGATTTAATAGGTAGGAGGAGCCCACTCGTGGCTTGTTTTTGCTGGCTGATGAGACTGGTGTTTATCAGGCCCTGGGCTTGTGTGGCTAGAGAACCTTGGGAGCTGCCGTGCTGGACCTCGGTCACAGACCTGACTCGACGCAGCTGAGCATCTGGACATCGCAACAGCGATGCCTTCCCTGGTCAGCCTTCATGACGTCTTGGTGCACACCGCTCCTTTTTGAACTCACCTGTGATTTTTTAATCAGAAATGCAAGGCAAATTGTTTAACCTAATGATTTCTAAACTATTAAAAAAACATTAAAATAGGACTCCAAGAATATAAAGATACATTTAGATATCTCCTTAGGCAGTCGTGACCTTTTTTTGAGGGGCCTGAGGCAGGGGCGAGCACATTTTATGCACCAGTGTGCTGCACGTGCTTGAGTGCTTGAGAGACCACGCATGTGTGCCCAAAGTAGTTTTTGCGCACACAGTATGGCGAAAAGCCTGACCCTTAGGAAGCTATTCCAGGGGCAGGCTGAGTCGAGGACTTAATTTCATTTCTAAATTTGAAAGTGGGATTCTCTCAGTAAGTGAGTCTGACCGCTGGATCCAGAGGATTTTTCATGCCATCAAGCCCAGGGCAGCGTATTCTCAGAACAATGCTCTGAATTTCTGTGAAGCTTCCATCAGATTACCATTGAGGTATCATGGAGTGTTATTTGCCCAAGATTTGTCTTGCCAAGGATCGAAAGGTGTTAGGACAAGAAATAGTAAATATTTCAGAATGATTTCATCCTTAATTCAAGTGATATTTTAGGACTAAGTATGTTAGGCATGGACATTCCCTGCTGGATATCTGTTGTTGGTTTAGCCTAAGTGAAATGGCATCATGGTGTCATTGCTATTTCAGAAACCAGTGTCGTAAGTGGATGATGTCACTGAGGGTGTTGCCACTTTGTGATGCCTTGTGGCTGTAGAATATTTAACAAAGTGATTGTGATACAGCATTGGTTGGAGTCACTCTGCAAGTGTCTACACTTCTCCAAAGTGGCCAACCAAGATGGGAATGTAGGCCGTGGTAACATGGACCTTTTCTAAAAGGATCAAAAAACATTTCTTATGTCCTAAAATGTGCCCAGCACTGTGCTGGCTGCTAGAGCTACAAAGACAAAAGGGAAATGTTCCTGCCCTTGAGGAGCTTGAATGCTATTTTGGGATCTATGTCTGTAAAATGAAAGAACCAAAATGTGTGCAAGGTGGCGGAGGCAGCCCGCCTCAGGGTGCTACTGTCAGGGTCAGGGAGGGTCTCAGGGAGCAGGTGGTCTTTGCCTGAGCTTATAGGCAGTGAGGAACTCTAGGACGTTGGGATGAAGAGCCAGGCCTGCCTAGGCTGGAGCTCCACAAAGATGTGGAGCCTGGAGATAAAAGGTTGGATGCAGGGACCCACAGGGCCATTGGGCTGGCTGAGAGAGGGAGGTTGTGAAGGTCTCCAGACCGCCATTTGTGTGTGCTTCTACCAGTGATGGGGAGTCATCGGACTTCACGGGCCAGGGTGATAAGAAGCACAGCAAAGCCTATTTGGATTGGAGAGAGAAGAGGCGAGGCAGGCAGGTCAGTTGGGGCTGTCAAGAAGTCAGGGCTGAAAGGGAGCCCTTACCCGTGGGGACATTGAAGCTCATCTTCTAATGACATCTCCACTATCTTCTTCTTAGATAGGCTGACAGCCGCCAGTCCAGCATGGTTTATAGAGCTTTGATGATGGGCACTTAACAGGTAGATGAATGAGACAGATGCTTTTAAGAAAGGAAAAAACAAAACTTTGAGATTGTAAGAAAGCCAAATTTTGTTCTTTTGTGTCACCGAGAATATCACTTATTATCTGTGATTTACATATTTCAAATTCCTTAATAAGGAACAAAAGTATTTTCCTTTATTAATTCATATAATATGAATGGGAGACTTTAAAGTCCATTATCAATGAATTTTATCGAAACCATAGAAAATTTGAACCTAAGCCAACATCTTTGTGGCATCAATCAATCAACAAGCATTTATTAATTGCCTCCTGTATGCCAGGCCTTGTGCTGGGCATTAGGAATACAGTGACATAAATGAAGTAGGCTTTTACATGTACTATATATGCCCCTCCAAACATAGGCTTGTGTTCATCTTCTTGGCTGATGTCACCCGGCATTTTGGCCAGGGAGCAAACAAACAGCTGGGCCGGAAGGCTGGAGACAGGCCTGGAAGAAGAGAAGGAGCCAGCTTGGGCTTCTTCCTCATGTTCTTGCCTGCCTTCGAACCCAGTTCTGCTCCTACCTGGCTCCAGGACAGACTGATGGCCTTTAGAGTCAGTTAGACCCAGGAGAGGCAGGAGTGGAGAAGAGAAGGCTAAGTCAGGACATAAGGAGGAGCCTTCTGCAGGCCGTTTCTTAATCATCTCTTTAGAAATGGAACAAAATGAAAAGCCTTCCAAAAAAAAAAAAAAGAATAAAACTTTATTAAAAGGGAAGAAAAGTAACAAAGAGGCTCATGGAAGCATTTCTTAACACCCAGAGGAGAATAGAAGGAAACCCAGACAAGCAGGACAGCTTTGAAAAGAGTGTCCACAGTCGTATTCTTCTGGGCTGCTTGCTGGGTGGAAACGGGCGCCATGTTTGTTAAGTTCAGAACAGAAAAAACAAATGTTTAGCCCAGCAAGAACTAGCATGTCCTTGTTGGAACTTTGATGCCCCTTGATCCTTCCAGCTTCACCTCCCATTCATCCACACATATCTGTTGAGCCCCCACTTTATATTGCTTAGATTGTGCCCATTTAACAATAAAGCTTCAGTCTCTGGTGTCTCCAATTGGTTTTTATCATAAATAGAAATTAAGAACATTATATTATTCCAGGATGCTATTGAATAATTTTCTGTAGTGTCTTATACAGTAGGATGTAATCGGATAACTTGGATGAACCAAAATACTAGTGCCTAAAATGTTGTTCCTTTAACAGTACTAATGAAAGACATGTTGGCATTGAACACATTAATTCTTGAAAGACTGGATTTCTTTAAGAATACTCTATAGCATGCAACATGTAATCTTTCTTTCCTTTCCCAACTGCTTTCTATTATATGCTTAGGGCTTAGACCGCTCCAATTCCTGGGTTAACACTGGTGGTCCAAAGGCTGCCCCATGGGGATCCAACCCCAGTCCAAGTGCAGAGTCAACACAGGTGGTGTCTACAGCATCAGAGGTTTCTTTATTGGCTGCTGATATTTCCCTCTAGAACGTTACTTTTTAGTCCATACTATGGTTTCAGTGGCTTGCTTTTCTCAATTTTGGGAAGTTCATGATTTTTTTTTAATTAGCACATTTCCCCCATCACATGCATGCATGAATACCGCCAAACGTACCAGTGATATCCCCTCTCCACTGCTCCCCTCCCCCGCTCCTGCCTACATTTCTGTGGATGCTGCTTATGGAGGTTGGGTCTTCTTTAGCTTAGCACCTGTCTGGTGGGCTTGTTCTCACTCCTATCTGCAAAACCACAGTGCTCCATTTTGATTTAAAGTCTCTAATCACCTTACCGCTTTCATAAAATATTTAGTATCTTGTCATATTTCTATAACACTGAATAGTAAAAATGGTGATAAACTAAAGCTGAATTTAAACTGAAAGATAAACCCTGAAAGATTAAGAACCAAAAGTAAAGATATGTTTTCATTTGTGTTGTGTTGCAAAGGATGAAATTGGTAGTAACTTAGTTGAAATAGTTGAAATCACTTACTTAATTCTAGTTGCCTGCTGCTTTTAGATTCTGCATGACATAGAACATACATCTCAACTGTCTTTGATCTGGGAAGAAAAATTAACTTTATCCCCCAAAATGCTACCTCATAATTGTCATTACAAATGGCATGACCAACATCACACGCTATTTCTAATGCAAGGATTTGTAGAATATTAACTGTGCCCTCCAAAAAACCAACCAAACAAAAACCCTCCAGGCATTTTTAGTGTTGATTGGGCAAAGTTGTTTGAATGTTTGTTCTGTGACAATTGAGAAGTATGTTGCTTTAAAAAAAAAGGTGTTTTTTTTTTCTTACTGGATATGTGCATGTTTGCAGACTACACCTATGAAAGTTTCATTCTTTGCAGCAATAGCTATATGTAGTTCCATTAAAATACCCACATTTCCTTAAACCTTTTTTTAATCCATTGAAGGCATTTGAACTTTCGTTTATACATTGTTGTCAATCTGTTTGAAGTAGCTCAGGATGGTGGACAGCAGACTGGGAAGAAAAAAAAAGCTGGTTTTGACAACAGAAATTAAACCCTATTACTGACAAGTATTTAAAGTTGTACATTATCTTTGAGCTGCGAAGTCGCCCACAGCAGATTTTAATGCTCTGTCATCCTTCATTCATCTTCACTCCATAGGCGATGGATCGAAGTTGTAATCGTATGTCTTCGCACACAGAGACGTCAAGTTTCTTACAAACATTAACGGGACGTTTGCCAACTAAAAAGGTAGATTCAAGTGGAGACGATCGATCTTTGGGGGAGAAAGCCGTCAGGTTCCATAGGAATGTTTCCACCGGTGCCTCAGGCACCGAGATGCCAGCTAGAGGGCTCCCCTTGCTCAGGAGCTGCTCTGCTGTACCTGTGGAACATAGATTCTCTTATATGATACAGAATCCACTGGGGTTGACTCTTTCCTCAGAGCGTGGTGAATTAAAGCTTAGTCATTTAATTTCACTGCCAAAAATGTACCAACCCTTAATATTGCTTCTGTAACTGCTTCTGTTTTGTGTTTAAATCTCCAGGGAAAGGAAGATGAGTTAGAAAAATTATCACTCTTAGTAAGATACGTTAATTTGCTTCCCTTGTGCACAGTTTTGTTAGTCCTTTCTCATATTAATTAATATGCACTGATTTGCAAATTGCTTTGTATGCATATCCATTATGCTATAAGAATGAGGAAGGAATTTTGTATTTTTTAAAAATGAATTTAAGTTCCTGATAACATGAAAAATAAAGGCCAGATTTTCAAAGGTGTCACTTAAATTGTACCGGCAAAGGTGGTGAGAAACACTCCATACTATCCATTTGAAAACACAGACAAGAGCTAATACCTGTTCCTTGCTAGTTCCGGCTTATATTTGCAGGCACAATTTAAGGGCCCTTTCCCATCTGGCCTTGTACAATTCCATTTTATTCCCAGATACCATGTAATGTTTTCGGCTGCCGGCACCCCATCGTCTTACATGGTTGCATAGTCGTTTCATTAATGGACGTCATCACTGCCTCCCCCGGATCGGTCATGTGCCTTCTTTTGCTTCTTTTCATTGTTTTCCTCGTATCTTTTGTCACGGTGTTGGCATTGCCCCCTGAGCTCTGCCTGGTGAGGTAGTGCCTGTATTAACTCTGGATTTCCTCCTGGGCAGCTTTTCCACGAGGAGCTGGCTTTGCAGTGGGTCGTCTGCAGTGGCAGCGTCCGTGAGGCGGCTCTGCAGCAAGCCTGGTTCTTCTTTGAGCTGATGGTGAGCAAGCGACCCCGTGCGTGCGTGGATCTTGGGGTTCTTCCTTGCCGCTGGTCTTCAGGTTCCCCGTTCCTCCAGGGTAGAGGGCTGGACGGCTGGGTGGTTATTTACCAGGTCACGAGGAAACGGGAACCGCTCTCAGTTACTTCTGGAATCAGACGGGGGAAAGAAAACGGTCCCAGAGTTTGCAGCGTTTGTGCTCGTTCATAATAAGTATTTGTGATTGGCCGTTCCCGTTCTCTTCAGGTGAAAAGTATGGTACACCATTTATATTTTACGGATAAACTTGACGCTCCAAGAAAAAGCCGCTTTCCAGAACGCTTCATGGACGACATCGCCGCTCTCGTCAGCACGATTGCCAGCGACGTGGTTTCGCGGTTTCAGAAGGTGAGGGTGGTATGACTCTGGGGGAATGGCCAAGCTTTTCAGTGAGTATCCCTTTAATTCTGTGTCCGGTCTCCTGTTCTCTAGGACGCAGAAATGGTGGAAAGACTCAACATGAGCCTGGCCTTCTTCCTCAACGATCTGTTGTCCGTCATGGACCGAGGCTTCGTCTTCAGCCTTGTCAAGGCCTGCTACAAGCAGGTGAGACGTGACAGGCGCCTCTCCGCAGTGCTGGCTGGGCGTCAGAACGCAGGGTGTGTCAGGAGCTGGTAGTGGGATGGCTCAGTCCTCCTGCTCCCGAGTGGCTCCTCGTCTGTCAGGACCAGGTCCCTGGTCGCCCTGGGCCCTTCTCCCACTAATCCCACGGTTCTCTTTGGCCCACCAGGTGTCTTCGAAGCTTTACTCGCTACCAAACCCAAGTCTCTTGGTGTCCTTGAGGCTAGACTTCCTGAGGGTCATTTGCAGCCACGAACATTATGTCACCCTGAACCTGCCCTGCAGCTTACTCACACCGCCAGCCTCACCATCCCCGTCTGTGTCTTCTGCGACATCTCAGGCAAGTGGAGGGGAGTGCTTCCTGCAGGGAGAAGGGAGCAGACCACCAGGACTCGCTCAGGGAGCCTTATTAACTGTCTGCTGTGCGCCAGGCGGTGTGCCGGGGCCGAGGGTACCAAGAGAGACCAGCCGCCCTGCCCATACTGAGCTCACAAGCTGTCGATGCGTGCACATGTAAGGTAGATGGGGCATACTGTGTATGGTCAAATGAAGCATTTATTGAGCGCTTAGCGTATCCCAGACACTGGGAGAATCCAGGCAGACCCTGCCCTCAAGGAGCTCATGGTCTAATGGGAGAGGCCACACCTGGGGAAAGTTTCAGCTACAAGCCAGATAGCAATAAAGGTCCCCCGGTCCTCCCAGTACAACAGCAAAGCAGCGCTCAGGCCTCTTCTTCTGCATCATTTCCACTGATGAGATCCTCAGTTTCTCAGGTTGAACCGTTGGAAGGGCCAAGGGGACGGGAGCTTTCTTTCCAGGGTCTCTGGTAGCTGTGGCCGCAGCCTCGGCAGGGGCAGTCCCCAGGCAGCATCTCTGTGGGGGCCACTTCCCAGAATGATGGCTGAGGCTCTCCGGTTCAGGGTCCTGCGCTGTCCCCATCAGGATCTGAGGGGACTGCCAAGGAACCAAGGGGGAAATAGTGGTCTGACTCGGCTGGCCCATTTTGCCACCTGCTCTCCCTCAGAGGGCCCTGCTGCTTTAGCTAGATTGGCCTGCCTGCCTGGGGTGAAGGCTGTCCCCTCGTCCCCAGGACCCGCTTTACCAGAGAATGACTGTAAGGCAAATGCTGAAAGCAAGACTGCCGATCTGGGGGTGGGGGTGGGGTAGTGCCACTCTCCAGGCTGTTGTGCCCGTCTGCCTGTTGGGAATACACGCTCACACAGACACATCCCCACACATGTTTGCACACATACATGTTTAGTTGCAGAGGACGCATCAGCCTCTTGGGTGATCGAGACTGGTCTTGTGTGGGAGCTCACACTTGATCTGAACTTTGCAGGAAGCTCAGGGCTCTAAGAGTAGGGAGGAGGACAAAGGCCATTCCAGGAAGAGCCTGGGGCCGAGGGAGGGGGTGTCGCAGAAGGACCGAAAGACCCCGGTGGCCTGGATGGAAAAGCACGTGAAGGAGTGAGTAGAATCTAAGAAGACAGGAAAGGAAAGTTAGAACAAGGTTGTGAAAAAGGTCAAATGTCAGATAGGGCTCCTTATATATTTAATCATGGAGGCCGTAGGGTTCCCTTGGACCTTAGTGAGTGGTGAGTGAAATGGTATCCTTTAGAAAGGTGACTTTGGCAGGAGCCTGCTGGGACAGGCCAGTTGAGAGGCAATGAGGAACAAAACTGGGCTGGTTCAGGAAGAGTCCTGAAAAAACAAAGAAAATGTCAGGGCCAGAGAAAGCAAAAAGGAGAAGGGAATGGAAAGAAAAAGTCCTGCTTGTCACCAAGAAGGAAATACTAGTCCAGGCACATTAACTTCTAAATGTTGGTGGACCTTGGGTTGCTTCTGAAAGAGTTTTAGCATTCCCGAAATCAGAATTTCAGATGTATGCACCCTGGAAATCTTGAGTTGGGTGTTTTGTTTAGAACTGTTTTACATAATGATGTTGCATTTACTGAGAGTCCACACTGGGACAAGGTCCATGGTGTGCCTCAGACCTCTCTGCTTGAGCCCTCCTCTCGCCCAGTTCAGCTTCTCTTGATCACCTCAGCAGTGACTATGGATTCGGTCACCATCTCTATGCAGGCACCTCCTGGATCTGGGTACTGACCCCTCCTTTCCTTTCTGAGCTCCCACTCACCCGTTTCCTGCATCAGCTCTTCCAGCTGGATGCTGTTCCCCAGGCATCCCACACTCAGCACGTCCACGATAGAACTCGGCGTCTTCCCCAGCCAAACCTGGCCCTCTTCTGAACTTTCTTATTTCTAGCGGGGTTACTACCTGGTGTTCATTTCTCTATTGTGCAGACTCAGTCACCCAACATCCAGAAAGTTGCCAGGGCCTCCTCCATCCACCTGCCAGAGTAATCTCTTTAAAGCACAGATTTGGCCGTGTCACGCCCCTACTCAAAAGGCTCTACTGGTGTACTCTGCCCTCAGAGTTAAAAAAACAAATCCTTCCCTGACAGGCTGATTGCACACGAGGGTCACGCCAGACTGGCCTCTTGTTTGCATTCTGTCTCCTATCTCTGCTATGGCACTGCCCCCGTGAAGCCCTCCCTGACCATTGTACCACCCTTGCCCCGGAGGTCAGTGCTCACTCTCCCCCCCCCCCAGTTATCCAGGATATGCTCGTCTGGTTACATGCTGAGGCTTCCCAGTCAAATGGAAGCTTCTTGAAGGAAGGGACTGGTGTTCTTAAACTTCGTCGTTGTGTCATCAGCACCTCAGAGTTCCTTGCACACAGTAGGCACTTTAAAAATGTATGTGGGTACATTTATGGACATGGTCAGTGTGAGAGTTTGTTTTGCTTAGCTGTGAATATTTGTGACAAGGACTTTTTTCCACAATTGGGAGGGAGTGGAAGAGAAAGGAAATATAATTGTGGATTTTCTTAAAAAGAAAAAACTGTGTTGGCTTGGCTTTGCATAGCATTCCCACATTGTAGACCACGGCCTCGATAGAGGCTCACTTTCGTGTATACTTCTTTGAATTGTTTAGTGAAATGACTTCTTTTTTAACTCATTTTGCTAGTGGGTATATGTCTACTTTGTAGCCAAGCGATGGTTTCTCTCACAGTATCTTCTAAGGCGGTGTTGAGGTTTGCAAAAGTAAACAGAAGAGATGATAGCTGCTTAGGGAATGGAGAAGGACTAATAATCTTAGTTTAATTAGCTCAGCTATTTAGATTTTATATATGTAGGTATGAGCTATTATAGTTTTTTTAATTCTTAAAAGAAGCAACCCATAGTTAATTAACACACATAACTGAGCAGTATTAAAAAGAAAAAAGCTTGGAGAATCATCATAAATTTCTATGTCCTCACTTAAATAAAAGTTAACATTATTATATTACTATTCTATGTAATGTTTTATTGACTAAAATTAAACTTTCACGTAAACTCCCTTGCAAATCTTCATTTCAAGGGTCACTAGAATGCAAACTAAATTTTAATTTTAATTAAGAATGTCTACTTGTTGAAGATAGTAAATTCATGATGACAGTTTTCTATAAATGATGTAAAAACCCAATCATTGGTTATTTGTGGGTTTCGCCATCAGGAGCAATGACATGTTTATTAGAAATGAAAAAATTTTGCAAATGAGATCAATTAAAACTTCTTGAATACATCTATTTGCCAAACAAATGTAATCGTGAGATTTCTTGATCTCTCCCTGCCACTCTTTGAAGGGACCAGGAAATGAGCAGGTTTTTTAGTTTGTGAAGTTCTCTTTAAACAGTTCATGATTTTTCAGGAAATGATCTCGATGTTTACAAGTGTTTCTTTTGCACTCTGAGGAAAATCAATAAGCGAATCTGGGAGGAAAAGTGTTTTGCTGTTTGTTTGCTTTTTGTGTGTGTATTTTTGAGCATATTTCTGTGTATCCTTTTATGTGTGCATTATTGCTCTTAAAAGAGTTGGGGGTTTTTTTGTTTTTGTTTTTGGTGAGGCAGTTGGGGTTAAGTGACTTGCCCAGGGTCACACAGCTAGTAAGTATGAAGTGTGAGGTCTGAGACTGGATTTGAACTCAGGTCCTCCTGATTCCAGAGCCAGTGCTCTCTCCACTGCACGACCTCGCTGCCCCTAAGAGTTTTTTTAAAAGTGAAAAATGTTCTCACCAGGAATAAAAAAAAAAACTTGAAGAATACTGTTATTCCCCTTGGAGAGCAAAGGAAGGGTTCTCCTCTCCCCTGCAGGTGAGGGCCCTGCTTCTGTGTCATTGCCGTTCTTATGCCGCCTCTTTGGGTTTTTCCGCAGAGCTCTGGATTTTCCACAAACGTCCAAGACCAGAAGACAGCAAACATGTTCGAGCTGTCCCTGCCCTTCCGCCAGCAGCATTACCTGGCGGGACTCGTGTTGACTGAGCTGGCCATCATCTTAGACCCTGATGCAGATGGGTGAGTAAGGCAGTCTTTGCCCGGCACGGGGCCAAGGAAGTGTCATTCCTGTCTCTTTGTAGTCTGGAGCTGAGTTTGAATTCTGGTTCTGCTGCTGTGTGCCAGGCACAGGGCTAAGCACTGAGAATATGAATAGAAGCAGAGAGGTCCCTCCCCTCGAGGAGCTCCCGCGCTGCTGGGGAAGATGGCCCAGAAGAGGAACCTAAAGGGAAGGAGAGTAGTGGAGGCTCCCCACATTGGGGTGTGGCCTGGCCGGCCTGGGCACTTTCCCCAAATGGAGGGAACCCTGGGAGGAGCCAGCCAGCCAGAGGAAAGGGCCAGAGAGACAACCAGGGTCCAGGATGATTAGGCCAGGGGCAGAGGAGCTCCGTGGGAAACGTCCGTAGAGCCAGGAGTGGAGCCTGGAGAGCGCTGAGCTTTCTCCCTAAGTTTTGTCTATGTCTTTGTCGACTGTGAAGTGTCTATTAATCCTGCACTGCTGGTGGGGGAGACAGACCCCTCCCTCCATGCGGCGCTCCAGTCGGAATTCTTTTCAGGCCAAAAAGAAGAAATGTTTCTTTCAAAAAAGCGGGTGTGTGCTGCTCCAGGGCTCTCGTCCAGTAGGGTGTCAGATGTTGGAGTGGATGGGGACAGCAGCTTGTGTTGCAGAAGCCCTTGGGGCAGATGCTGGGATTCAGGGTGAACCCAAACCCAGTCCACACTGGGGCCACCAGCGGTTCTTCTTTATTGCATGAGGGTCCCCTCGTCTGTCTGTCTGTAGAGATGCAGAACTCTGCCAACGTGCCCCTCCAATTCTGGAGCGGCAAACCAACCAAAGGTCAGAGTGAGACGTACTTCCAGCCCGGGAAAACGTAAGCGGTCGGGAGGAGAGATCCCAGACATGGGGGAGGAGGCTGGCCTGGAGCCCGTGCAGATGGAACCCCAGCGGGGGCCAGGTGGGAGAGACAGAGCCGCAGCAGCTTCCTGACCTCTCAACTAAGAGCTGGTAAGGAGACCCGGCAAATGCTGAGAAAGAGATCAGGGGACTCCTGTGCCCGCGCCGGGTGTCGGACCAGATGCTGTTTGGCAGCTCCATCGCCATTACCACTTGTGGGCCACGTTTCAAGGGCAGAGAGGGAGTAGCGCAGGGAACCTGAGGGGCATTATCACTTCTGGTCCCAAGGGAGAAGGGGCCCTGAGGAGCAGGATCAAATGTAATCCCAAGGTATCAGGGACCTTCCTAGGTAAGGACCAGAGTACAGACCAAGAAGGCAGTGACCGTACCACCTTGGAAGCACTGAAAACTTCAGACTCCCAGAAGTAGCTCTGAGAACAGCAGTGCCAAAAAGCCTGAAGCTTGAAAGAATGCCCCTCACCCCCCATGTTGGGAACAGAGCCCAACACTATCATAAAGTTCCACATCAAGAAATAGGGTCGGAAAATGATCAAATAACAAACAAACAAACAGACAAAAAAAAGAACCTGGCCATAAAAAGCCACTGTGGTGATAGGGAGCTCATAAGAAGAAGACAGTGGAGTCAAAACAGCTATAAGCAAAGCATCAAAGGAAAAAAAATAGGAAAATATGTGACACAAGCCCAACAAGAATTCCTAGAAGAGTTAAAAAATTATTTTCAAAATGAGAATGATAGGAGGAAAAATTAGGTAAAGAAATGAAAGCAAAGGAACAAAATTATGAAAATACATTGCTAAAAGAGTCACCAAAAAAAATACTTAAAGAAAAAAAAAAAACACCTTAAAAAAACAGAATTGGCCCGATGGAAAAAGAGATACAGAAGCTCACTGAAGAAAACCTTAAAAATTAGAATTGGACAAGTGGAAGCTAATGACTCCATGAGACATCAAGAAACAGTGAAACAGAGTAAAAAAAAAATGAAAAGATAGAAGAAAATTGAAGTGTCTCTTTGGGAAAAACACCTGACCTGTAAAATAGATCTAGGAGAGATAATTTAACAATTATTGAATTACTTGAAAGCCATGATCAAAGAAAGAGCCTAAACATCATATTTCCAAAAAAAACTAGTTGGAACAATAAACAATTTCATCAGAGTTGCAGGATATATAAGAAAGTCACAACAGTATTTCTGCATACTGCCAACCAAACCTAGCAGGAAGCAATAGAGAAATGTTATTTAAAATAACTGTAGACAATGTAAAATACTTTGGAGCTTACCTGCCAAGACAAACCTGAAGGATATATGAACGCAGTTACAAAACACTTTTCACACAAAGACAGATCTGAACAAGTGGAAAAATGTTAATTGTTCATGGTTAGGCCAAGACAATATGATAAAAATGACTATTCTACCTAAGTGAATTTACTCATTCAAAGTCATAACAGACTACCAAAGAATTACTTTATAGAGCTAGAAAAAATAGTGAAATTCATCTGGAAGAATGAAAGGTCAAGAATATTAACAGAATCAATGAAAAAAATGTGAAGGAAGGTGACTGATTTCAAACTATATTACAGTGTGGTAATCCTCAAAACAATCCGGTACTGGCTAAGAAATAGAGAGGTAGATCATTAGAATAGGTTAATACACAATACACGATAGTAAATGACCAAAATAATCTAGTGGTTGATGAATCCATAGATCCAGACTTTTGGGGTAAGAATTCAACACTTGACAAAAAATTGCTGGGAAAACTGGAAAGCAGTTTGGCAGAAACTAAGCACAGACTAACATCTCAAACCATATACCATATATATTTTAACCATAAGGTTAAAATGGTTAAGTGATTTTGACATAAAGGGTGATATCATAAGTAAATTACGGGAACGTGAAAAAATGTACCTATCTAATCTATGGATAAGGGGAGCATTTATGACCAGATAAGAGAGGAAGTTAGAAGAAGCAAAAGAGAGAATTTTGATTACATGAAATTAAGAAGTTTTTGCACAGACAAAAAGTAATGCAGCCAAAATTCGAAGGAAAACAGAAAGTTGGTTTTTTAAAATTTGCAACAGGTTTTTCTGCTAAAGGTCTCTTTTCTCAAATATATAGAACACTTGGCCAAATTTATAAAAATAAGAACCATTTCTTAGTTGATAAATGGTCAGAGGATATAAATTGGCATTTTTCAGAAGAAGAGATCAAAGCTGTGAATAGTCACATGAAAAAATGTTCTAAATCACCACTGATTAGAAAAATGTAAATTAAAACAACTCTGATATACTGCCTCACATCTGTGAGACTGGCTAACATGACAGAAAAGGAAAATGATAAATGTTGGAAGAGATATGGAAAAATAAGGACACTAATGCACTGTTGGTGGAGTTGTGAACTGATCCAACCATTCTGGAGAAAAATTTGGAACTATGCCCAAAAAGCTATCAAACTCTGCATACCCTTTGATCCAGAAATAGCACTACTAGGTATGTATCCCAAGGACATCCATAAAAAAGAGAGAAGAAACCATTTGTACAAAACTATTTATAGCAGCTATTTTTGTGGTGGCAAAAATTTTGAAATTGAGAGGATGCCCATCAACTGGGGAATGACTGAACGAGTTGTGGTATGTGATTATAATGGAATGCTATTGCGCTATAAGAAATGATAAGCAGGCAGACTTCAGAAAAACCTGGGAAGACATACATGAACTGATGCAAAGTGAAATGAGCAGAACTAAAGAGAAGATTGTATACGGTGGCAACAATACTATATGATGGTCAGCTGTGACTGACTTATCTTTTCTGAGCAGTACAGTGATCTAAGACAATTTCAAAGGACTTATGATGGAAAAGGAACTGATGGAGTCTGATTGCAGATTGAAGCGCACTCTATTTGCTTTATTATTCTTGTCTGTTTGCTGTTGCTGTTTTGGGGGGTTTTTGGTCAATTTTTCTTCTGTGACGTGGCTAATATGGAAACCTTTTGCTTGTGGATTCTATATCAGATGGCTTGTCTTCACAAGGAAGGGGGAGGGGGAGAGACAGGGAGAGAATATGGTACTCACAATTTAAAAATGAATGTTAAACATTTTGTTTACATGAAATTGGGAGAAAATAAAATAAAAATTAAGTGAAAAAAGGTAACTCATATACCATATATGGCACATTGCCATCTAAGAGTTTCAGTGTCAGTAAATTAATGCTTAATTTTTAAAAAACGATGAGCAGGATGGTTTCTGAGAAAACTTCAGAAGACTTATATGAGTGGATACAAAGTGAAGTGGACGGACCAGGAGAACATGGCACACAGTAACAGCAGTAGTATAAGGAAGGTCAATGTGGAAGACTTGGCTATTGTGATCAAGGCCATGGTCCAAGGCGATGCCAGACGACCCATGGCGAAGGTCTGTCCAACTCTGGACGCAACCTGAAGCGTGGCTTTTTTTTTAACTTTATTTTTCTTGGGGGTTTTTTTGTGTGTGTTTTCTTTTGCAGTGTATGGTAATGTATTTTGGCGTGACGGCACATGTATAATCAAAGTCAAAGTGCTTGCCATCTCAAGGAGAGGAAAGGGGTGGGCGGGAGGGAGAGATTTTGGAACTCAGTTGTTTTTTTTTTAAGTGATTAAATATGATTTTAAAAAACAAAGAGAGATTGCCCTAAGGCCCAGTGGTGGTGATGTGCAGCCTGGACGTGGACGTGGACTTGGGGTTGGACCTGCTGTCCCCTTTCCCACCCACACTGATCCTTTCAGCCTTGGGCCCCTGCAGGCCCAGACAAGAAGTGAAGTGCTTCTTGTTGGCACCGGAGTGGGGGTCTGGGCTGTGGCTTGGCGAGGGGCCTGGGAACCGCAGCTCCAGCAGGAGCCGCGGTGACGCAGGGGCCCGTGGAGCCCAGCCTGGGCTGGGCTATGGCTGTGCCAGCCTCTGGCTGTGCCAGCCTCTGTTGTCAGGGCTGGGCCTTGCTGCCCAGGTTAAGGCCGATGGAGCCATTCTAGGTTAACGTGACGAAGGCTGCGGGGTAGAGACGTCTGTGAAGCTCGCTTTCCCCTTCTTAGGATCACGGCCCGTGGGCAATCCTGGGTGTTCTCTCAGTCCTTGTCATGAGCACCCAGGGTAAATAACTCGGAGCTAAATGCCCTCATTACAGTTTTTCTTCTGGTTTTTTTGGTAAATGGGCCCATTTTCATTCTGTATTAGAAATGCTTTATAAGAGTGAGTATGAATATATATATATATATACGTACGTGTGTGTGTGTGTGTGTGTGTGTGTAATGTTAGCTAGAGGAAAAAACGGTTTGCTTCTGGGCTTCTTAATAGTGCTTCTGTTACAAAGTATTGTTTGTTTTCCAGATGTCTGTCTGCTAATCTCTGTGACCTCCCTTTCTTTTATAGTTTGTTTGGATTGCATAAGAAAGTCATCAACATGGTACACAACTTACTGTCCAGCCATGACTCAGACCCGCGGTACTCTGACCCCCAGGTAAAGGCCCGGGTGGCCATGCTCTATCTACCTTTGATCGGCATCATCATGGAAACTGTGCCCCAGCTGTATGATTTCACAGGTATCTGTCACATCGAAGACATTATGTCGTGTATGTTCCCACCGGGGAGAGCAAGCAGTTAATTTGTTCAGAAATTAAACCTTTCTGTTACTTAAAATTGTGCTTTGCAGTTTAAGATGGTCATAGAGGTGTGTACATGTTGGCCTTATTTTAAAAGAATCCCTTGTGAAAAGTACATTTGCCAAAGTGGAAAGTTAGCAGGTTATTTTTCATATGCTATGAAGAGTCTTCACTTTAGAAGTGAAAAGTTTTGGGGCGGAGCCAAAATGGCAGAGTAAAAGCAGTGACTTGCTTGAGCTCTCCCCCAATCCCCTCCAGAAGTGAAAAGTTTCTTTAAATAGGAATTGAATTTAAAATATCCCATCTAAAATCCCCTTTTGTACCCAGCACTTCAGAATGCATATATATGCATCACACGAAGAAAACCTGAAAAAAAAGTTCCAGGTCAGCAAACCTCTCTGTGTTTAACAGCGAGATCAACAAAATATCCAAGTAAAAGTGGTTGACTTTGCTTCTCATCCTGGCATTAAAGGGCACCCAGAGAGCAGCTCTCTGCGAGGCTCATTCCTACTTTGAAGACAGAACCATTTGTTTTGCAGCAACTCATAGAGAGTGCCTGCCTCGTTGTGTGCTTTTATCGGTGATTTCCCCTGCCTGTCCTCCCCAGCCCTGAGAGGTGGCTTGGCATTGTCCCAGGACCAGGGTCATAGTCAGGGGGCCTGGGTCAGTTCCCTGCCTGCGTGAGCCCGGGCACAGTGGCTTTGTCGGAGGGGTTCGCCCACCCAGAGCTCCCCACACCCAGGAGATCACTGGTCCAGACCAAAAACCAAGCAAACCCTCAGAGACTTGTGGAAGGAAAGGGAGATGGTATCCAGGGCTCTGCCAGCCGAAAACATGGGGTAAATGCCAGTGGTTGTTGTGGCTGTCGTGTTTTGGGATGACACCGTTGCATTTACATGAGAGCAGTGGGGGCCTTAGGGCCGAATTCCCACTGGGGTTTCGCCACCACCCTTCCCCTAAGAGGAGTGCTCTCCTTTCCCCTTCCTGCAGGTTTCCTTTTATCCTCAATAACTTGAGCTTTGCAGACGGGGCTCCTGTAGTAATTAACGCCACCATGTTCTGTAACACTCAGTTTTCTGAGAGCGTCCTTTAAAGTGGTAGCAGAAGCAAGGAGGAGGAGGAGGAGGGAAGGGCGTAAAGAACCCCCGTGTGATATTTGTTTCTTTTGGACTCTCTCCAGAGACTCATAATCAGCGGGGACGGCCGAGCTGTGTGGCAGTGGAGGATTATGAAAGTGAGGGCGGAAATATGATAAGCCAGACGGTGGCCATGGCGATCGCCGGCGCGCCGGTCCCGCAGCTTGTGAGGCCCAGCAGCTTTCTGCTCACTTCTTCGGTACAAAAGCAGAATCAAAGCTTCTCTTGTGGAAATACAGGGCAGCCCCTGCTCGGGTGGGCAGTCGGTCCAGCGACCCTGGGAAATGTTTTATGTCGGGCCCCAGAGTTAGAAGATTGAGACCTGGGATTTGATACTGTACGGGCGTGTTTTCAGTTATTTGTTAGCTAAAAATACTTATTTAGGGCCTATTCTTTATCAGCTTTGATATTTTTTTTTTTTTTGGTCTGAGTCAGGGAAGTGTGACAGATATCCTTTCAGTTATATAAAGAAATAACTTTTTTATGTTTAAAAAACAGTCTGTTCACTCCAGGCAGTGTTTTCCCCTACTCTTAAAAAGAGGGCTAAAGCAGATTTTTAAACCATTTTTCCCTTTAGAGAAAATACAGTAGTATTTACTAAAACTAAAATTTGTTAGGGAGCTGCCCTGTCATTGGCCCAGTCAGGGCTTCTTGAACTCTTTCCACTCTCGACCACTTTTCGTGACTTTTCACGTGTCAGCCACATTTGTTGGCGTTGCTTGGCCTGAGGCATGCACAGTGGGCTTTCAGAGCCAAAGCTGCAGTGAAGTTGTGTGATGCGACCCAGGCAAGCACTGTCAGAAACGCCTCACGTTCATCACACACTTGATTTTGGATTCGTTTTTGGTCGTTGCGCTTTCAGAAATCTTTTGCTGTTGCCAAATTTTTCATGACCCCTTCTAGGGCTGCGACCCACAGTTTAAGAACCGCTGGTGCGCACTATGCCAGCGTCAGCAGTGCATAGGTGAAAAGCCATCTCTCCCATCAAGAAATCTGAAGTCTAAAAGGGAAAATGTGGCGTGTGATCAGATAACCATGATCCAAGATGTGAGGGATCTGGACCAGAGGAAAATCCAGACCCAGTACTCTCGTGTGTGACTTAGCACTCATAATGGGGAAAGGGTCAGGGGCGAGGAAGAAAAATTCTCAAAGAAACATTAAAAATACACTGGAGAAAATTCAGAAGGTAGCAAGACAAGCAGAGAGGTTCTGTTTGCTCTCATGCTAAGTTCAATACATACTCTCTTTTGAAAAAACTACGGGTTAGAAGCTTGTGGTTCTTCATGTAATTCTCTCTTCTGTTCTTTGTATATTAAAATGTTCATTTTTCTATTACATTTGTAATAAAAAAGATGAAAGTCATCAGAGACTTTTCACTTTATACTTTGAAAAAAGCCAGAGAAAGATGAAAATAAACCTGTGTCTGACGACTTAAGTCGTATAAAACTGGAGAGAAAGAGATAAAGAGTTTCCCAAAGCTTTGCCCAGACACAGAGGAAGCTTTCCAGGTGCCCTTCAGAAGTGCCGTGGAGGCAGCCGTCAGTGCAAGCGCAGAGAAGTCTGTAGGGAGGACGGGTGTTTAGGGTTCAGAGGGGGGTGATTAGATCCAGCCCCTGACACCCTGGTAGTACCGGTCAGCTGTGCACATGGCCGTGTACGTGGTGCTGTGATCTCAGTGAAGTGCTGCTTTCTGATTGGGGCAGAATAGGCAGCTTTTATGAGTGTGAAAACAGCTTTGAGAGATCATGCCTGCATTGCGTCCTTGAGTGTAGAAGGCAGTAGGGCCTCGCCTTCGACGAAGGTGCGGTTTAACCTGAAGGCAAGGGTAGATTTGGATGTTCCAAACTGACTGAAAGTTGAGTACAAGCCGAAGGCTGTGATGAGAGAAGTGGCTGAGTTAGGGCCCATGGCCCGTAGGAATTGGGGCTTCTCCTTTTGTTTTTTGTTTTTTTGTTTTGTTTGTTTTTGGTGAGGCAGTCAGGGTTAAGTGACTTGCCCAGGGTCACACCACTAGTAAGTGTCAAGTGTCTGAGGCCAGATTTGAACTCAAGTCCTCCTGACTCCAGGGCTGGTGCTCTATCCACTGCGCCTCCTAGCTGCCCCTTTTTGGGGGGGAGGGGCTACTCCTTTGCCTTTATTCCATTCTCTTTTGCTTCTGGATGTTATGTTATGTTTATTAGATATTTGTTCACTTTTTTTCATTTACTTTTCAGCTATTATGAAAGTCATTGCAAAGTGCCTTAAAGAAAGAAAACAAGGCTGTAACCCAAAATGCTTACATTCTGAAACACATATTGCAAATCCAAATTGTTTCTTCCTTATGTGGCCCTCTTCAGGGACATGAAATCCACGGGCCCAAGCCCCCTTGAAAGACTTATGTATTACATTTCTATGGGACCGTCTAAGTAAATGTTATCTAAATCATATGATTTTTCGAAGTTCATCATACATAGTAGCTTGGGGCATAGGCGATAGAGTGCTGGTCTTGGTGTCCATAAGACCTGGCTTCGCACAGTGCCTCTGATACCAGCTGTGTGATCCTGGGGAGGTCCCTAAACCTCCCACCGCCATTTTGTATTTTCAGTTTCTGACTCCAGGTCTGTGGGGTGGTGATGCTCCGAGGGTGTCAGGCAGCTCTCCAAGTGTATAAGTTTAGATAGGTCTCCATCTGTGGCTGGTAGAGGAAGGTCCCACCCAGAAGTTTCCGCGCTGATGGAATCCGGGACCTGGATGTATTGGCATTAATGCACTTCACTCATCAGAACTTAGTTTGGGAGAAGATGACCACGAGCTGCGCCAGCGTCACGGTCCTTGCCTCTCTCCTTGCTTTCAGACGGGCCGGCAGCACTCCGTGTTTTCCGCAGAATCGAGCAGGAGCCTTCTGATCTGCCTGCTGTGGGTCCTCAAGCACGCGGATGAGACCGTCCTGCAGAAGTGGTTCACGGACCTCTCGGTCCTGCAGCTCAACAGACTGCTCGATCTGCTCTACCTGTGTGTGTCCTGCTTCGAGTACAAGGTAGGTGGGGAGTGGGCTGCTCTGGGCGGATGGTGCGAGGAGCACGAGGAGCTTCTTCCTCCTGCATATCCCCGCTGCGTTGTGCTTCCATTTTAGGGGAAGAAAGTCTTTGAAAGGATGAATAGTCTGACATTTAAGAAGTCAAAAGACATGAGAGCCAAGCTAGAAGAGGCCATCCTCGGAAGCATTGGAGCCAGACAAGAAATGGTGCGTCGAAGCCGAGGGCAGCTCGGTAGGTAGTCCAGCCGGCGCCGCCTGCCGCGGAGGGTCTGTGCCCTTCGTTAGGCGAGCGTCTGCACCGACATCGTCCGCAGAGCGGCTCTCTTGAATATCCGTGTTTCCACCGTAGTTTAGATAGGAGCCCTGGATTGAAGCAAAGGAAAATTTAGATTTGCAAACACACAGCTGTTAGTATGCATGTGTGGCTGTTACGGATGAATGCAAAAAGCATATATTACATGCCGACTGTGTGCCAAGCACGGTGCTGAGTGCTGCGGATAAAGTGGAAGAAAGCAAGGCAGAAAAAAGGCTCAGACTCTGGGGGAAACAACAAAATTGGCCTTCAGGACAGATGGACGGTACTGGCGCCCTACGAGCGCCTTGTCGGGTCCTCCATCTCCCTGGAAGGCGTAGAGTCGATGGTTCCTGTCTTTCTGTAGCCATGTGAGCTCCCCGTGGTCAAGGGTAGGGGCAGAGGAGGAAGTTGGCTCCCTGGGGTGCAGGGCCTTCTCTGTACGTGGCCATCCCAGATAGGAAAGGACTCCCCCAGGCAGTGTCTGTGTGAGGGCAGTAGTAGGCGTAAGGTGTTATTAGTAATTTCATTCGTGTCCAACTCTTCGTGACCCCATTTAGGATTTTCTTGGCAGAGACACTGCCAAGTATCAAGTGGTTTGCCATTTCCTTCTCCAGCTCATTTGACAGATGAGGAAACTGAGGCAAACAGGGTAAGGTGACTTGCCCAGGGTCACACAACTAGGAAATGTCTGAGACAGGATTTGAACTCAAGGAGATGACTCCAGATCCTGTGCTCTGTGCACTGTGGTGCCACCTAGCTGCCCAATGGAGAGACTCCCTCTATAGAAATTCAGGGTTATTGTCATTTTTTTGATAAGTATTGCTGACAGTGAAGGTAGGAGACTATTCATGTAACGAGATGAGTCCAGCAGATTACAGAAAGGAAGGATGGTTGCTAAGACCCGCAGCCCCGCCTCCCCCGGCAGGCTCCACGGCTCCCCGCTGCCTCTGGGGTCCACAGTCCTGGTGTCACCCCCTTTTGTTGCCGTGTGTCTCATGCCCTCTGTGCTCCAGTCCGTCCTGCTAATGCGCCCTTCTTGCTTCCGCTCATACCCAGCATTTCATCCCCCACCTGCGTGCCTCAGGTGTGGTAGACACTTCTCCCTCACCGCCACCTCCCAGAAGCCCTCATTCTCACCAGATTTAGCTCCAGCGCCTGCTAGGTGGGGCCCTTTCTGACCCATCCGGCTTGCCCCCTCCCCTTACCCTGCATTTATATCGTATGTGATACAGGCGTGTGTGTAATACCCATCTATGTGCCCTCCTTGTCTCTGGAGAGAAGACTCTCACTTTTTGTCTTGAATTCCCAGCGCCTTCCACAGAAGTAGGCACGTAGTAGGTCTTCATAAATGCTCACTAATTAGATTGATCGGCATGTGCATGTGTATTTCTTTGGCTGGCTTTTTTTCTTAATATGGCAACTTGCAGGACTTTTCTTTGTGCATGTTTCTGCTGGATTTGGCTCTTTCAGCATTTTTCCCCATAGATCTTTGATACAGTCTTTTGAATTCTTTGCCTCCTCATTTCCCAGTCTGCCCCCACCAAAGGTAGTGATTGCATCTTCTCATAAAAGGGACTTTTCTCTCCCAGCAAGGGGACAAAAACAGACTCATCCCCCTCCTCAGTTTATTGCGTGAGCAGAGTCATTTCTTATCACTGGCTCCCCCCTCCCCAAAATGTCCTGATCCCTTCTGGGGAAGAAAGGGAAGCCTAAAGCCCCCCCGCCATGTGTCCCAAGACCCAGCCTTCCCCTTGAGCGGTACATGGGGAGCCCCTCGGTGGTGCCAGCACTGAGCACTATGTTAGCGCTGGAAGAGAAAAGAAGACCAGTAAATTAGACAGGCTCCCTTTGCTCACGGAGCTTAGTCCACTAGGATGATGCAAATCCTCCCCAAATAACTGACAGAATATGTCCCGGAGAGGAGGGGAATGAGCTACCCACCAAGGTCTCCAGAGGGATCATCAGGGAAGGCTTCCTGGAGGTGGCAGCCTTGGCGCTCTTCACTGAAGGGGTCATGGAGGTCACAAAAAGGAGGCTGCCCTCCCAGCTCCCCTGGGTTCAGGTATCACCTGCCAGACTCCTCAGCTCATAGAGCCAACCCTCATCTCCATCCTGAGTGCTCGGTCCCTGGGCATCCAGCCGCTTCCCAGACATCCGGACCTGCCCTGCCCATGCTTATCTCGAGCTGGTGTCCCAGCAGGACATTTTCCTGGCCCTCCCTGTAGCATGTAATGCTTCCTCCTTTGGGGCAGCTGGACCATCTTTGGCTGAAGCCTCTTGGTGCCTTACTTGGAATAGGTGCTTGACAGTGGCCAATTGGATTGGATCTGTTCTGCTTTCCTAACCCTGCGTTGGCCTAGATCTCCCTCTTGTCTCTGGCACCACGGTCGCTGACTTAGAGCAGGGGCCTGGGGCCTCTCGCCTCTCTCTGACCCTCTTACCACCTGCACTCACAGAGTCTCATTCAGAAGACACCCAGGAGCCGCAGGGTCCGGCCAGGCCTGCCCAAGGCGCCTGTCTTATAGCAGTAGCCGGCCTTTACGTAGGGTTTTGAAGTTTCTGAATGTCTTTCTGTGCCTGGCTTCCTTTACACCTCACAGCTCCCCTTGGAGGAAGTTATTGTTCTCTCCATTTCACAGATGAGAGAACTGAGGCTGAGAGGTTGGTCACTCAGTCGGTCAGCAAACATCTCTTAAGTGCCTGCTGTATACCAGGAGCTATGTTAGTGCCTGGCCTCAAGCTCACAGTCCTCGTGGGGGAGACAAAAGGAAACAGTGATGTACAAGCAAGCTCTGTACGGGAAAAATAGAAGAAAATTAACAGAGGGAAGGCACTGGAATTAGGGGAGTCGGTAAAGGCCTCCTGCAGAAGGGAGGATTCTACCCAAGAAACAGGCTATTTTAAGTATACTTCAGATTCTGAGAGGAGAGAGCTTAATACCAAAAAGAGCCTTACCTTGGTCTGAAGGAAAAGAAATATGGGGGCCTAGTTTATTAACCTTAATTAATATGAATTGCTCTAAGTTACTCAGCACCTGTGATAACTTTCCTCTAAGAATTCAAATATGAAACTATCCAATTATTAGAGTTTGGCCTGGTCTAGATAATTTGAGCGAGTGTTTCTTACGTGCCATGTTTTATCATGTTGGCAGCCAAATACTGGATGGAGACGACAGTGTAAACTATTTGTCGTTGGGTGGGTGGGTACCTGTCCTTTGGAGTGGCTCTACACTGCTATGCTTCTAACACCAGCCACAGAGACGAGACGTGCTTCAGGTGATATTTCAGAAACATCAGAGTCCCTCCGACTCCCCCCAGTATAGCTAAGGAAGCAACAAGTATCTACCGAAGGCCTGCTCTGTGTCCATCACTACCCACGGCCACAGGGTGGACACAAGGAGAAGTGTTAGGTAGGAGCCAACACAGCCCACACGCAAGGTTGAGTCCACTTGACCAAGAGTTGGCCAAGATGTGTTGCTGTAAGATGAGTGAAGGAAACAAATGCTGTGACTCACAAAATTGTCGCATTTTGTTCTTTAAAAGTTTAGTTGCATTTTGCATTATTGTAGAGGTGATTTTTAACTGGTGTGATGACAGGTGTTTGAGCAGAGCTTTTGAGTGTGGAACTCTGAGTAAAAAGAATTTTCTAGTGCAGGATTTTTGTATGTTTGCAAACAAACATGTGCTTGGTTCAGAGGGAAATCACATTTACGGATTGGTTCTTCCATTCACTTGGCAGAGAGAAGCCCATCAGGAAGTGCCTTCGGGAGCCAAGAAAACCTGCGGTGGAGGAAGGACATGACTCACTGGCGTCAGAACACGGAGAAATTGGACAAGTAATAGAGCCTCGTCTTTTCATGTTACTAGTGGGCTGGTCATGTGACAAGCGCGCCAGGAACGTGGTTAATTTGGAGGACGTTGTTTTAGAGGCCTTTAATTTTTTGCTGTTTCCATTTTGCTGTTAGGATGCCAGGAAACCTTGGGGAAAGGGAAAAAAATTTACTTTGTCAGTAAGCACCCCCCCAACCCCGTTATTTTAAAGTAAATAAATTCAGGACAGACGGCAGAGCTGGGGGAAGCTGGCCTGACGGCTCTGAAGACCTGGTTCCGTGGCCTGTCTGGCCACATGTGGCTGGGCTGCTACGGACCAGTGCCCTGGGCAGCTCTGTACCGCTTAGGTCACAGGAATGCTGGTCTGTGGGGTGAAATCATGGGCCTTCTCCCAGCAAAACCACGGGGAATGTCAGTGTCTCTAGATGTAGGTAATTACCAGATGACAGGACGTCTGTTTGAGAACAGATTTTCCCTTTCGCTCTCATCCAAAATCCATTAATTCTGCACGTGTTTACCAAGTGTACCGTGAGCCTCGTTCTCCTCTGGGCACCTGAAGTGTCCCCCCCGTCCACACGGACGTAGAGATCTGGGAGATGAGGGCCCAGCCACCCGGAGCCCAGGGAGGCCCGGATGAGTTAGGGGGAGCTGGTGCTGCCACATGCAGAGAGTGGGGTTCACAGGCCAGTGCGGCGGCAGTGGGCAGGGATGGACTCACAGGGATGGTGGTGGCTGAGCTAAGGCCTGGGGGCGGGGGTAGGCTCTGAAGACACAGAGAGGGGAGAAGGCCCTTTCCTAGGAGGGCAGCAGTGGGAGCAAAATCCTGAGAGTGAATCCCTGTGTGGAGTGCGCTGAGACACTGCTTTGGCGGCTCCTCTGGGGAGGAGTGATTGGTAGGTAGTGGAGGGCCTTGAATGTTGGTGTGAGGGGTCTGCATGTACTTCTGTGGGCTGTAGGGAGCAGGCTCTCGGGGGGTTACTGAAGTATGTTCAGATTTTTAGGTGTTCCATCTTGATTGAACTCGGCACTCAGGCCTGAAAACCAAGCACTTACTACCTGTAAACAGAGATACTCTGCTTAGAGAGGATGACCTAGCAAGTATAGAATGAAATCAGAGAGAATCCTTATCCGAAAAATATATCAATAGACTTGTTGCCTAAATACTAGTTACATACAATTCCACGATAACTTGAACAGCGCTAACCGAAATAGAAGCTCATGCCTGTGTCCGGGTGCCACTCTGATGCCCCATTATGGTGTGGAGGTGATCCTGGCTTTTTAAAGCCTCCAGTGGCAGAGAGCAAATCCTGCCAGGGTGTGTCCTTCCGGCTTGGAAACCTCCAAACCCATCATCCCCACTGCCCGAAGACCGTCCTGGTGCAGAGATGCTCAGCCCCAGGAGGCCGGGAAGGCTCCAAACCCATCATCCCCGCTGCCCGAGGACCGTCATGGTGCAGAGACGTTCAGCCCCAGGAGGCCGGGAAGGCTCTAATTGAAGATCTGATTCTGAATTCTTTTACTGAGATTAAAAATATCCTGAGAAAAGAATAGGGGATCTGGGAGCAAGCCTGGGCAACCAGAGTGGAGCAGAAGAATGGACCAGATTGTCTTTGGGAAACTGCACTTCTGATGATCCCAAGCGTCTCCCTGACACCAGGTCTGTCTCTTTAATGCCGTTATTCTTTGCTGGGTGTTGCATGCCTGTGAGTCATGGAAGGGGAGGGTTCCTGAAGAATCCAAGTTGTGGGTCTCCTCAAGGCTGCTGGAGAGGTCTTGGTGGCCTGAGCAGGTCACAGTCCCCTAGGAGAAGTGACCGAAGAAACAGGATAGAAGAATACAGCTGTTGGTCAAGTGGAGAGAGGAAGGGGCGGAGAGTCCCTGGACCTCAAGAGCACTCATGGATGGGCTGCGGGGGAAGGTTGTCCTCAGTCACTGGAGTGAATGCCCGTATTGTTGAGATTGGGACACTGGCTTTAGTGGAAAGTGCTGGCCTTCGAGTCTCTGGGCTGGAATCTGAAGCCTAGTTCTGCTACGTGGGGCAAGTCAGCTCATCTTTCTCTTGGGCCAGATGACCTCAGAGGTCTGGGCAGCTCCAAGTCTACGACCTTCCCAGTGCGTTCCTTAAACTCGGTCACCTCTAGTTGTACCATATGGCCTCTGAGCGGCCTTCCCGTCTCTTGTTCTAATGCTGTGATCTCCTGGGTACAGCATGTCCTGGACAAAAGAGCACTGTGTTTGTAGTCAGAATAATAATAATAATGATATGAGAAGGAGGAGAAGGAGATAATCCTTTAAGGTTTCATATGCTGTACTGAAAGTATATCGTTTGCCCCAATAACAAATCTGCGTAAGGTCTGCTGCCGGGCAGTTCTGAATCTTAGCGAGTTTTCGCGTCACTCTTGCCTAAGTCAGTCTCCAGAACATAGCCGTTGCCCTTCCTGGTCACTGACATGAGGCTGGTAAAGCGTGAGGGGCCGCCACAGGCCTGCCCGGAGGCAGGTGTAGGGGCCGAGAGCTCAGACCAGTGGGGTTTGTTCCTGGCCAGATCCTCATCCCCCACACCCCCAGGCTGTGGTCTCAAGCATCCTCTAAAAAACACCCTCTGGACCTTAATGGTTTGCTGTTGTTTACTTTACAAAAGCCAGCCCTCCCCGGCCACCCCTCCCTCTTGGCGGACACTGCCCACTGCGGCTCGCTCCAGGTGGGCTTGGCGCTGGCCTCCTCAGTGTTCACATTGGGCTCTTTGCTTCTCTGCATTCTTATCGGTCACTCCAGCAGCTCTCCCCTTTCCTCCTCTTTACAGTTATTACTGTTTGAATCTTCAGAATTTTATTCTGGAGAGGTGCAGACCTCGTGGCCAGCCAATATTAAATCATTGGGTTCTACTTCTCTGTTGTCTTTACCCTTTGAGACCTGTGCGTGTCAGCGTAGGCTTGGCTTTCCTCTCCTTTCCCATCACGAATTCTGTGATGGACTAGACGGCTGTCCCCAATTCGTCTCATTTCTAGTTAAGCAGCCAATGTCCTTATGGTCAAAACCAGGCCCAGAAGAGTGGCTCCTCTGGTCACTTACTTCACCTTTTGAAAGATTTTTTTTAAATTATCATTAAATCAAATTACAAATTAAGTGACCCTCTTTTGAGAGAGAACACGCAATCTGGAATGTGCCCCAATAATTATCCTATTTCCACGATATCATGCTTCTGTGTCGGTCTGTGATCTCTTTCCCAAGCCCCTCATCTGATTCTTCCTTCCACCCAAGGGGTCGCCCCCCAACGCCATTGCTTCTGCTTCTCCCTTCTTTGAGCCACACTCAGGATTCACTCCATCGTGCTTTCCCATGCTGGTCTGGAAGCGCTCCTCAGTTCAGTTCAGTTCAGTTCAGCAAATATGGAGTGAAGGCCTCTTCAGAGAGAATCTTCCTCCACACCCCCCCTTCCTTTCTGAGGTTCCTTTCAATAAGGGTCATCCTTCCAAAGCCTTACCACGGTACTGAGAAGCCTCAGGAGCGACTGCAAAGTGACATTTGCCCCCTTGTATTTTGACATCTGGTTCTCTCTGTTTTTCGTAACCTTTGTGCATTTTGTTGCTGGTTGTCTTGGATTCTCTCATGAACTCTTTGCCTGCTTTCTCTGCTGTTTTTCTGTGTCCCTGTTCGCCATGCTCACTTCAGTATCAAGCTTGCTCCATGGGGCAGTTGTTTTCTTCCCTCCATTCCATTTTTACTTTGAAAGCTTCTCCATGTTCATGTTTTTGCCAGTTCAGTACAGTAGACTTTTATCAGGTCTTGTTAGAGCTGACATCTTACAAGTCAAGAAATGGAAGCCTAGAGAGGCTAAGTGATTTACCCCAAATCACATCCAATAGGAGGTGAGGAAGTGGACAGTTGTCATGAAGGAAGGAGAAAAACAGGCTGTTGCTAGAAGCAACAAGAAGGTCAGTGATGGTTCTTTTCAGCTTGCACCCTGCGTGAGGACGGGTTCAAGAAGGATGTTGTCGGGAGAACTCGAGAATGCTGGAAGGGAAGGGGATAATGGTGGGAGTAAGACCCCTTAGAAAGCAGGCAAGGGGGGCAGCTAGGTGGCACAGTGGATAGAGCACCAGCCCTGGAGTCAGGAGGACCTGAGTTCAAATGTGGCCTCAGACACATGACACTCACTAGCTGTGTGACTGGGCACGTCACTTAACTCCATTGCCTAGCCAAAAAAGAAAAGAAGAAAAGAAAGCAGGCAAGGAACAGCGTGTGGAGCATGGCAAGGGGAAGAGCGATCTCTTGTCCTCTGAAAATGAAGGGAAGAACAAGAAAAAGGACGTCATGACAGAAGGTGGAGTAAAGCGAACTGTAGCTTCCTTGGTCATCTTCATAAGGAGCATTTTCACCAAGATCGTCATGATTCGGGGCTTGACAAGAGAAGGAGATTCAGAAAGGCCATGGCGCAGCGCGCCTTCGAAATGCACAAAGCGAATGATAGAAGGAGGAGATGCTGAGTCTCAGAGAGTAATGTCAAGGAGCCAATGAATGTAGGCCAGCCAGAGCTGCCTCTGTGGTGTGAACAGAGATCAGGGATTGAAAATCCCCCCACTGGAAAACGTGGGGCAGCAGTAACATTGATAGACCCCAGACAGAAGAATCTCACGTCCCTCATTTCAAGATAGAAGTCAGTAGGAAAAGAGAGTATTTTCAGGACCCAGCAGACAGGTTCACGTGGTGGAGCAGAGCCAGACTTACTATTGCCTGAGGCTGGGGAGAGAAGGGGCCCCACAGAGCTAAGTAGTGCACTTCATTTTGTCCACGGCCATCTGTCAAGTCCACGAAGAGTCGAACTGAGCCCTCAGTCCAGGGTAGAAGGGAACTTATCCCAAAACCCAACTTAGCGTTTGCGGAATCCTAGAATTCAGGGTGGGAAGGAGGCCCACAGGCCATCTCATTCGGCTTGTCCCCGAAGGGCCCCCTCCCATGACAAATGTGACGGGCGGTCATCCAGACCAGTGGGGGGGGCCACCCCCCCACCCACCCCCGCGATGTAAAGAGCTCTGGCTCTTGGGAGGTTTCTTCCCAACCACAAATCTGGAAAAAGCTGCTAAAGCAGAGAATAAATGTCACATTCTTTCATTGAAGACTAAAATCTATAACTTTGAGGCACAAAAGCACGTGCTGAATTTTTCCGTCCTTCAGTAACTTCGCAAGCTCCGAATTGTGTGGAATGGGTTGCCGTCTCTGGTGGGATGGATACCCACGTGTGCACAAATGCTCTGAATTATTAACAGTGTCAAAGACTCCTAAACGATGTGAAGTGAGTCATTGCTCTGTTCGTATAGGTTGGAGGTGACCCAAGAAACATGCTTTGATAGGCTAATTAATACAAACCGTGGGTGCTCTGCCAGTCTGAGAGTCAGAGAGGGTTTTAAATGGGGCGCTCTGGGGAAGATCTAAGCACGCAGACCAGACTTCATCAGGGAGTGAATGATGGTGTGAAAGCTGCCTGCCATCGCTTCCCTTACTTATTTCTTTGTTAGCGCATTCTCGAAGCCTGACTGTGCTTCCTCCTCCACTCTCTGTCCTGATCCCTCCCCCTGGTTTCTCCTCAGTGCAATGCTTTGTAGAAGCCTCCACACCCCAGGCCCCCGGCTTTGGCATCCCTGCCTTGTTTCTGTATTCACTTTGCTGGGTCTGGAGGAAGGAGTTCTGGTTTTTAACTAAAGGCAGCAAGTCTTACATTTCTTTTCTTGAGGCTCCACACTGGAAGGTTTAAACACTGCTGTGATGTGTGGCATATTTTCCTGTTTTGTCAAGATAATCATTCAGACACCAGCCCTGAAGTCAGGAGGACCTGAGTTCAAATCTGGCCACAGACCAAACACTTGACACTTACTAGCTGTGTGACCCTGGGCAAGTCACTTAACCCCAATTGCCTTAAAAAATAAAATAAGATAATCATTTAGGCTCCTTAACTCTAATATTTCATTAACGTTCCTTCCTTTGCTGAATAGTGTGGACATGGTAGTGATGATAGGGTGAATGAGAATTTGTAGACTTTCAGGTCGAGAGTTTTAGGAATTAGTCATCGTAATGTCAACGTCCTGTCCTCTTGTATTTGTGCATCTGTCCTGTGTGCAATTGTTAGCCTTTGTTATCAGGACACAAATATTTACCCATAGTTGTACTCGGTATTATACTTAGTATTTTTATAGTAATGACAATCATTGGTGAGAATGGAAATGAAAAATGCCTTCATTGCATTAAGTTGTCTTGTGGGCTGGTCTGGCTGGTTCATTCCATAATCTCACTGAAGACTTAAGTTATCACCTGTGATTAGATGTGCCAGATTTTCTGGGGAAATAGATGCAACTTTAGAGAAAATAAGTACTTTTATCCCAAAGAAATGTGTTGAAAATCCCTGGAATGGTATTAAGCCTGTTCCGAGGCAGGCCGTTTGGGAACGCTGCACATCTGAGCCCCCGGCACTTCCTTCAGATGGTGCCGGGTGAAAGAACTGTGAAGGCCCTTCCATTGAGGGCATGGCCTTCCCCCTGTGCCAGCTGCCTGGCACTGGCCTGGGGGGAGCAGGGAAAGGCAGGGTCCCCAGCAGGCTTCTCCTTGTGCCCTGCCTCTTCCCCTTTCTCTTTTTCATGTACTATATTTTACAATTTTGGTTGTTTGTTTTTGAGAGATTTGTTGAAATGTATTTTTATTGGGTTTTTTTGAATATTTAGATGTAATTAACTTTAATACTTTGTTTCATTAGGTCAAGGGCAGAGATTGAGCACGAAGCACTTATTGATGGAAACCTTGCAACGGAAGCAAACCTAATAATTCTGGATACATTAGAGATAATCGTGCAGGTAAATGTCATGAAGAGATAAGAATGCAATTGTAGTCTCAGAATGGACAAAATTCAGAAAGATGCTGACCTGTTTCATGGAATCTTAGAGGTGGAAAAGACTCCCTTGTTCCTTGGTAATTCCCTGTGCAAGGTCACTGAGGAGTGGCCGCCCTGCCACCCTGCCACCCTGCCGCCTTGCCTCCGAGGGAGAGAAACTTACTGTTTTCCAAAGTGGCCGGTTCTGACCTGGGGCAGATCTCATTCCTTGGAAAGTCTTCCTAATTGAGGCGAACTCTGCCCTCCGAGGACTTCCGCCCAGCTTGCCTCTCTGGCCTCTGCTGCTCTGTCCACACGACAGCCAAAATCTGAAGCTCGTCCCAGTTATTGATGCTCAGAGCTCCATGAATGTATTTCCAACTGAACGCCACACAGTAGAAGTAAAGGTTTCTGTGTAGAAACGTGCGTGTGTGTGTGTGTGCATGCGTGTGTGTGTGCAGGCGCGTGTGTGTGTAGGCATGTGTGTGCATGCATGTGTGTGCGCACGTGTGCATGTGCAGGCGTGTGTGCATGCATGTGTGTGCGCGTGTGTGCGTGCATGTGTGTGTGCGTGCATGTGTTTGTGTGTGTGTGTGTGTGTGTGTGTGTGTGTGTGTGTGTGTGTGTGTGGCGAATGTGTGGGTGATCGTCCTGAGATGGTAGAAGAAAGTCTCCAGAAGCCCCAATTAGAATGATGCCCTGTAGATGGGAAGGAATCTGAGCGCCTGCTGGAAGCTCCCCAGGCTGGCCTCTCCCCTTGAAGCCCTCTTTGGCAGATGGCACTGCCAGCCACGGCGTGAGCCCCTGCACAGCGGCTCTGACGGGCCATCCACCGTCTCTTCCTGATGCTCCGCGGCAGAGGGAAGCCAGCGCTTCTGCGGCAGCCCGCTCTGCTCTGGGCAGCTTCAGCCGTTTGGTTTTTCCTGACGTCCAGCCTGCGTTTGCCTTTTTCCAGCTTGTCCCCATCGCTTCTGTTCTGTCCTCTGGGGCCACACAGAGCGCTGTGATACAAACAGGAAGATGGCTCGTTTCCCTCCGTTGAGTGACCTGGGGCCCTTCCCCACTCTGGTGCTCTACTGCTGACCCTCCCTCTCTGATTTCTTAATGTCCTTCCCAGGCTGGGCCCAGGGCTGCTCCGGCTGCGATGTGACCCAGGCACGCGGCAGTGGGGCTTTCGCTGCCCTGGTTCTGTCCGGGGATCTCCCATGCTCAGGGTGCTGATGTTCCGTGGTCTGGACCTCTCCGTGGCACTGGTCTTGCCGTCCCTGGCGTCCTCCCTGCTTACGTCTCTGCCCTTTGGGGCTCCGTGCCTCACAGGGTGCCTTCCCTGCCTTCCCGGGGCAGTTGGGGCGCCGGGGGACAGAGCGTGTCTTTGGTTGGGCGTGGGGCTCAGTTTCCTTGGCCAGGAGGGAGAGCTCATTCCAGGGCGTGGAGGGGCCGGAGAAACAGGCAATGTCCCATCGAGGGTGGAGCTTTTGCACTAGTGTCTGGGTGAGCCTTGGCTTTGTTTCTATATTTCAGACGGTTTCCCTGGCGGAATCCAAGGAGAGCATCCTGGGCGGGGTGCTCAAGGTGCTCCTGCACAGCATGGCCTGCCACCAGAGCGCCCTGTACCTGCAACACTGCTTCGCCACGCAGCGAGCCCTGGTCTCCAAGGTGGGTGGCCTGGCGCCATTTTCAGGGAATTGTTTCTCATGGTTGGCGGTCGGGGGAGGGGGGTAGCCTCCAGGGCCTTGTTCACCACTGGCCCCCGTTATCCTCCAGCCCCCGGCTTCAGGACTTTGTGGGTCAACCTGCCACGTCTGTCCACGCCAGCGTGGCCAAAGGGATTCCAGCTTTTAAGGGAAGAAGAGATTGAGATTAACGGCTCCGTTTACCTTGGGGTTTCTTGAATATTGTCCTTCCATTTCGCCCATTCCCCACTAGCAGACCAGCTCTTCCAGTGGGGTCTATGGCTGGGCACTTGGATGGGCAAACAGATTGCCTCTTTCTTACATCCCCAAACTCTAGCTGGCATTTAGCCTTCTCTGCGATTCCGCGCATGTTTTAAATCCCCTTCTTCTGGCCGGGGCTCCTTGGTGTCACCGCCCTGCCAGGCGGGCCCAGGAGCCCCTGAAGGTTAAGAAGCCCAGACTGGCGCCCCGAGGCTTTCTCTGGGGAAGCAGGGCCTGTCTCCTTCATCACTGTGCGTTGTGTTTCCCGGGGGGCGTCGCCGGCATGGAGGGGGCGCGCTGGCACATTTCCTCCTCTCCCGTGGAGCTGGAGCAGGAGGGCCGCTTTCCGCGAGCCTCTGTCCGTGCCCCTCCCCAGTTACGGTCTCGTTTCCTTGCAGTTCCCCGAGCTGCTCTTCGAGGAGGAGACGGAGCAGTGCGCAGACCTGTGCCTACGCCTCCTGCGTCACTGCAGCAGCAGCGTCAGCTCCATCCGCTCCCACGCCAGCGCCTCCCTGTACCTCCTGATGAGGCAGAACTTCGAGATCGGCAACGTAAGCCCCGCTGGTGGAGGGGAAACGGAGGCCCCTTCTGGGGCTGGCCAGGGAGGCCAGCAGGGAATCCCATGGGGGAGACCCCTCTCATGCTGTTTCCTCGCTGCCCGCCACCCCCAAGGAGCTTGCTGGCCCCGTCACCTCCCACTTAGCTGGCCTCTGTGGCTGAGCTGTGGTGGAGGCAGGCGCTGATGCCCGTAGGTGCCTCTTGGCACATTGGACCCCAAGCTCTGATTTAAGCAACATTCGAACCCATCTCCCCTCTCAGCTGCCTCAGTCTTCCCACTCTCCCCAGGGGAGGCAGTATGGCCTGGTGGGCCAGATGCTGGGCTTGAGATCAGAGAAGTCTGAGTTAGAATCTCGGTGTATTCGCTACCTTGGTAGCTGTGGACAGGTGTCTGAGCCCCTCTGTGCCTCAGTTAATGCCAGTAGGTAAACATGAGCTCTCATTCTCGTGATTGTCATCCCTTCTCTTTTCCTGTCGAATGAGAACCTTGATAGTGCCCCACAGTGGTGGGATGGCCTTGATCTCGGCCCCAGAGCTGCTCGGGTGCCTGGGATGTCCGCATTTCCAGGTTTGGCCCCGGATACTAGCCGGCATCGGAGGGAGCTGGTACCTTTGCTCCGTCCCAGGTTTCTGGGGTGTTTTCTGGGCTGAGAAGGAAACCATGACCAAGAAGAGGAGAAACTCCAGTCTGGAGCAACCTTCCCCCCTCTGGCCCCTCCACTGCCCGCCTGCCTGTGTTCTTGACCCCGGCCTCGGGGCTTCTGAAGGTTTTCTTCTGGCGTTCTAAAATAAGTGAGGCAGAGCCCTGGCTCTGCAGGCACAGACCCCAGGTTTAAACCCTGCCTCACCATGTGGGTGACTTTGGGCAGTTGCATCACCTGCCTGCGCCTCAGTTTCCATATCAGTAAAATGGAGGAGTTGGGTCAGTTGAGCTCCAAGCTTGCGGACTTATTTTAGTCAATTAGTCATGTCTAGGGTTCTCTTGGCAGAGATACTGGAGTGGTTTGCCATTTCCTCCTCCAGCTCATTTTACAGATAAGGAAACTGAGGCAGACAAGGTTAAGTGACTTGTCGGAGGTCACACAGCTAGTAAGTGTCTGAGGCTAGATTTGAACTCAGATCTTCCTGACTCCAAGCTCAGTGCTCTCTGCACTATGGCACCACCTAGTTTCCCCTGCTTGTGGTAGCTCTAGAGCCATGCCTCTGCCACCTTCTAATTCTAATACAATAAAAAGCTATTAAAAACTGGCCGTGACACATGAAGGAGAAACCAGGCAGCTCGACGGGCGTGTTGTGTCACCTGGGACGGGGAGGCAGAGAAAAGAGCCGCAAGAGGAATGGGGGGAGGGGTCAGTCAGGCCGTCGGCCAGCGTCCGGTGAGCGCTGACTGGCCTGGTCCCGGGGCCGCGGTGACCACGGCTGAGTGCTCTGTGCTCACGTGCGCGTGGGTGGCTGTGCGTGTGTGCGTGTCCCCTGGGTCCCGGGCAGGGCCCCATCTCCCAGCTGTGTCTGCTCCTCCAAAGCATGCGCCCTGTCCTCTCTGGTTCCGCTGCAGAATTTTGCCCGTGTGAAGATGCAGGTCACCATGTCGCTGTCGTCCCTGGTGGGCACCTCACAGAGCTTTAACGAGGAGTTCCTGCGGCGCTCCTTGAAGACCATCCTGACGTATGCTGAGGAAGACCTGGAGCTGCGGGAAACGACGTTCCCGGACCAGGTCAGCGCCTGAAGGCCCGCCAGGCCCCACCACGGCCCGGCTCCGGGCCTCATCCACACGCGGGTCTTTCGGGGACCCGCCGTCTGGGCAGCGTCTGGACCCGCTGGGGCTGGGCGTGGGGGAGGCCCCGGGGGAGCAGGGAGTGATGGGCTCTGGTGGCTGGCCCTCCGGCCCCAGAGAAGGCCTCCCTCACGCGGTCTCTGGGCGGCAGGTGCAGGACCTTGTCTTCAATCTCCACATGATCCTTTCTGACACGGTGAAGATGAAGGAGCACCAGGAAGACCCCGAGATGCTCATCGACCTGATGTACAGGTAGGGCCGTCTTGGCTGTACCCACCCCAGACCAGGCCCCGAGACGAGCACGTCGCGCAGGCTGGGTGTGCGCTCTCGACGGCCGTGGCCTCCCCCTCACGGCCTCTCGGCTCCGTCCCCCAGCATCCCTGAGGATGGCGTGGGCTCCCTGCCTTCCCAGCCCCACAGCTCCCACTTGTCTCCTCCCGTCACCTCATCTTCCTGCCTGTGGGGCAGGTAGCAAAGCCCCCCTTCCCCGTTCTGCAGATTACAGGATCGTGGGGCCTCAGAGGGCCCCTCGTCCAGCCTCCCTCATTCCCCCACCCCCACCTCAGAGTGCGTCACTTGTCCAAGGCGCCAGAGTCATTGTCACAACAGAGATTCGAGCCCACGTCCAGTGGGACTCAGTTGTCACTGGTGTTGGTTTTTTTACCCAGACTCCCTCTGGGGACGCTTTTGTTGTTCAGAGCTCTGGAAGCCTCCTCAGGGATGCCAGGAGCGCCCTTTATGGCCATTCATATGGCACCCACAAAGATGGCGGCTGCCCTTTGTGTTCCCCTGATTTCCTAACGTATCAAACTTCATCACAAAGTAGTCGATCAGTTAACAGTTGTTAAGCGCCTACTACGTGCCAGGCACAGCACTGCACTCTGGGAATGTAAAAGGAGGCAAAGATAGTCCCTGCCCTCGAGGAGCTTACAATCTAATGGGGGGAGACAGCGAGCAGACAGCCAGTTCTGATGAGACCGGCTCTAGGCAGCAGAGGGCAGAGAAGATGGGGAGGACCGTGGAGAAGGGACGTGAAGCAAGCCGGGGAGGTCAGTGGTCAGAGTCTGCCCGGTGTGGGGGATGGCCAGGGGAGTGGCCGGCTTTTTTCTTCCCTGCACACCATGGGGGCGTCCCACTTTCCTGGGAAGGCTCTGGGCACGAGCTGGGCATCTCCGGGGGCCTGGACAGGGACCGTTTCATGTCTCCCAAAGGCGGTGGCAGGAGGCGGCAGGCCTTGTCCAGCTCTGTGGCCAGAGCCAGCTCAGTGGTGTTTCTGTCCCAACTAGAATCGCCAAGGGCTACCAGACGTCTCCAGACCTGCGTCTGACCTGGCTGCAGAACATGGCCGGCAAGCACTCTGAGAGGAGCAATCACGCTGAAGCCGCCCAGTGCCTGGTGCACTCGGCCGCCCTGGTAGCCGAGTACCTGAGCATGCTGGAGGACCGGAAGTACCTGCCCGTGGGATGTGTGACCTTCCAGGTGATCCCCTCAGGGCGCGGGGGCATCCGGGAGAGGGACGCCTGGGCCACAGTGCCCAGCCCAGGTCCTACCTGTGACTTCTTCAGCCTGCCTGATGCTGGGCCAGGGGCCTGCGCTTAGCGCTCAAGGCTATTCGGGATAGAGAAGGTGCTGGCCTGCTCTGGCCAAGGGAGTACCTGTCTCAGTGAGCGGAGGGGCCAGATGCTGCCCCTCTGTGGTTGGTCCTACCCAGGGCCTGGTAGCACAGGTGTTATTAACCCTGTTTTACACAGAGGAAACAGAGGCTGATGCAGAGGCAAGAGCCACGCTGTGATTCTAGAGCAGTTCAGTAGAAGAGGCAGGATTTGAATCTAGTACTCTGCCTCTCCGCCCACCACCCTCTCCTCAGCTGTAGGGTGTGAGAATCAGATACCTGCTCTTTGGTGGTGAACTTGGTCTTGGAACCGAGCCAAGGTCCGAGGCCTGGGTCAGTCCTTTGTTTAAAGGCAGCTGGTGGTGCAGGGGTTGGAGTGCAGGGCTGGGAGCCAGGAGAACCTGAATTCAAATCTAGCCTGGGACGCTTCATTGCTGAGTGACCCTGGGCAAGTCACTGCCTCGGTGTCCTCATCTGTAAAATGGGGATCATAAAGCACCTGCCTCCTAGGGTGGTTGTGACCACAGAGTTCTGAGCACAGGGCCTGGCCTGTGGTGGGCATTTTATGAAAGCTTCCCCCATTCCCCCTCCATTTGTGTGACCTGGCACCGTGCCCTTAGCTTCCCTGTGCCTCAGTTTCTTCCCTTGTCCAGTTGGCCTCGATGTCCTTTGCTCATTGGCGGGGTAGCGTCTCACCCAGACCTGTCTCCGCAGAACATCTCATCCAACGTGCTGGAGGAGTCGGCTGTGTCGGACGACGTGGTGTCTCCCGACGAAGAGGGCATCTGCTCGGGAAAGTACTTCACGGAAGCTGGGCTGGTGGGGCTGCTGGAGCAGGCGGCCGCCTCCTTCTCCATGGTAGGCGAGCGCGCGGCCACAGCCCCACGTCATCGCAGGGCAGACAAGTGGCCGGGTCTCAGAGGGTCCCCCACACAGACAGACACAGACACGCATTTCCACGTGCACATGTGTGAACATGTAAACACGCTTTACTGACACAGTCACGGGTTGAACTCTCTGGAGGTACCAAGTGTGACACAGACTCCAGGAGGAACGTTCTCCGTGAGCACAGGCTCCTTTACAAGCCCAGATTCAGCCCGGCTCTGGGCAAGGCCCTGCCGCGCGTCTGTGTCACTGGCTTTGGCGAGCTCACTTCTCGGCACGTGTTGGGCACTCGGTGCGCACACGCCGCGTTAGCTTACACCGTTAGCTTGTGCACACACCGCGTTAGGTCGTGCGCGCTGCGAGCTTGTTGACCATCTGCGTTTATCTGTTGTTGCTCTTCAGGCAGGCATGTACGAAGCCGTCAACGAAGTTTACAAAGTGCTCATTCCTATTCACGAAGCGAATCGGGACGCAAAGAAGCTGTCCGTGATTCATGGTAAACTCCAAGAGGCATTCAGCAAAATTGTCCATCAGGTAAGCTCACCGCGTCCCGTCCTCCATGAACGGAGGGAACGTGTGAACGTGGTGGCGGGCTGTGCGCCCCACCAGACCCATCCTCTGCACGGACCGGTTTACTTAGGTTACAAATGACCCAGGTCAGAGTCACGGTCTGGGACCAGAGCGGGCCGTGGGCAGCCCGTGGCCACGGGGCAGGGCTGGCCCTGTGATTTTTTTAAATATGACGCCGTGCCTTAGCGCTCCAGAAAAATTCCTTGTCCTTTACACCATTTTTAGTAGCATGGGGTTTTAAATGCAAATTGTATGGTTTGCCGTATGCCAGCCGAACAAAACAAACCTTTTTGTATTTGGTTGAATTTCTCACCAAATGACATGAGATGCTCCTTCAGGTTCTTCCTGTGTGGACGAGTCACCGGGAGCTTCCATTTTTTTCTAGGGCATCAGTATTCAAAGGCTCCTTTGCTTGCTTTCTTCTATGCAAGTATGTGTTAGAAAACCCAGGGAGTCCCTGAGGGCCGGGACTCAAATCACCAACCGAAGCCCCCCACGAGCGCTTAGAGGGTCCCCGTAGACAAGGCAGGGTCTGCTCCGGGACTTGGGCAGAGCCTCCTGGCCTCTGCCGTCCTCTGTTCCCCAGCTGCACGTTGCGGGCTCCCTCTCGGGAAAGGGACTCCCTCCCTGGACCCCTGCCCCATAGTTGACTGGCTCAGCCTCCCATCTCTGCCGGGGGGCTGAGCAGCTCCCCTGAAATCAGCGCAGGCTGGAAGGCCAAGCCAGAGTGCCAGGCCCCTCAAGGTGAGGCACAGATTCACCCCAGATCAGGCCCCGGGTCCGAGCCAGCCTGCATGCAAACGACGCCCTCCCCATCTTGGACACCGAAGCTGGGTTCCTAAGAGACTTTCATAGCTTCGTGTAAGACTCGCTTGACTGGAGCGATGAGCTGAGAGAGGGGCAGTCAGCTGGAAGCTTGATGCGGGACCCCAGGCTTGCCCCTCGGTTGTCCCATCGATGGAGGAGGCGCGGGGGGTGCTCGGGGAGGAGGTCAGGGTCTCAGGTGAGCATGGAGTTGCGAGGCGGTGTGTGTGGTTGCTGACGCTTGTGACCGATTGGGCCCGGACCCCGAGCTGGCTTGTCTGTGACGTGCCTTTTCTGCTTTTTATCACACAGAGCACGGGCTGGGAGGTAGGTACCGCCTTAGCGAGGTAAAGCTGCTCCTAGATTGATCTGAGTCCTCGTGCCCGTGCTTGGCCCACATGTGCTAGCTGTGGGCGCTGTGTCGCTGTCTGCTCTTGACCACATTCATTAACCAAAGACGTTGTTCGGAGCACTGTCCGTTGTCTTAGACACTGATCGTGAGGGCGGTCAAGGCCGTGCATGGGGAGCGAGACGTGTCACTAATGAGATCCCCTGGCGAATGAGCCCCCGTGCCATCACCCTCATCTGTTTGCATCTTTCAAACGTTTCCTGTCGTCTGGCACAGAATATCATCTTTGGTTAAAGCCATGTGGTGCTTCACCCATCCCCAGAGGTCGATTTATGGACGTTGTTCAGAGGCGCAAAACTAAAGCAGCCCACCTGAGCCTGGTTCCAGGAGGCAGGGACGGGAGAGCGGGAGGTGTAAACGGCCCCGCTCTCCTCGGGCTTCCGGTCACCTCTCTGCCACACGACAGGGCCAAAAGGAAAATACCAACGAGTTTTACTCTGCGCAGTATCTAGGCGATTGGGAAGCTGCGTGGAAATAATAACTTACTTTATAATCCGTAGGGAAGCTAGCACTTTAACGAATTCAGTCTCAAGACAGCAAAGAATTTCAGATGCCACACGATACACTTAAAAAATGAAACCAGAGCCGTAAGCATTCTTGAGGCTTTACCTGTAAAGTGAGCTTGAGGTACTAGGTGACGTTTCACATACTGTATAGTTCATACACACCCAGCTTTGTGATGAGGCAACTGAGATTTTTCTCTGACTGACTTTACGGCATGACCCCGCTTTATGGGTCTAAACATACAAATTTGGGAAAAATCTGTTGCATGCAGAGCCATCCAAAATCAGCTCCGACCTTTGATTTTTCTTCCATATGAAGCAACTCAATTACCGCTGAAGTTAATTGGACAGTTTGGCGCCTAAAGAGAAACTCATTCTGGTGCTTCCAGGAAGTCTCAGTCTAAGACTTTCCTCTGATACCAGTTTCTTCCCTGGAGCGCTTGGCTTAATCAATCAGCTGAAAATTAGAACCTCTGAGCCGCGGTGTGGCGAGGCGGCCTGACGCTAAATCGACCCCTGAAACCGATCCTTTTCATTAGCTGGAGCGTTCATGTCACTCAGTCATCATGTGTCACTGCATGTTCAAAGACCCCTCACATCCTTGTTCCGTCCGAATTCACTCCACTGTCCACCTCTGCTGGACCTCTAGCTTTTTAGCTCCCAAGTTTGCTGCATGGTTGTTTTTTGCTTTTCTTTTGTAAATACGTTAATGGATGCTTGCATTTTTAAATTTATTTGCTACCATTTGCTGCTTATTTGTTTTGAAATTTCCCTAATTAAAATACTTTCTGTTTTCTCTTCTCTTGCCCCTGGTTGCTGACCCTCCTCCCCACTTTTACTATTGTCTGTTGTGGTAAGTTCGTACTTTGTGAATATTTTTCTTTTTGACTCTGTGGAAGCTGCAATAATTCCGTTTTATCAAAGAGCTATGCCAATCAGTTGCCAAAAACTTGACAAAATTCATTCCCTGGATTGACATCCAGTGAGAATCATTCCTGCACGCCAGCAGGCCGGCTTGAGCCGAGAGCTCACTCCGTGAGGACATGGGCGCTGCCCTCCTGTGCTCACTTCCCATCCTCCTCTTGGAATTGGTTCAGATCCCTTTTTGAATTGGCAAAGCTTTTTGGCTCTGTGTGTGTGCGTATCCGAGATAACTCTTAAGACGTGATTCCTCGCAGTTTGGAAAGGTGTTTCCTGTGCACAATAACAAACCCTGAGCTCTCCATGAGTCGCGGTGCCTGCGATCTGCTCCCCCAAATCTGTCCTGGCTACGCAGTCTTCACTTTCATCCTCTCTTCTCTTGAGCCCTATTATTTTTCTCAAAATAATAGAAAAGAAAATGCATTTTAATCATTCCTTTTCCTGTGCCTGCATTTGTCGCTTGTGTTCAAAGACATGATTTTCCAAGGCGTTGGAGCTTTTTTCTGAATTTCAGTGTAGAAAACCATGGCATGTGTGTGACGTGTTTCCAGGTGTGATTTTTTTTTTAATTATTAAAACAATGTGAACTGGGCTAATTTTCTAGAGGGATAAGTATGGAGGTTTGTGTCTTTCTCCTATGACTGGTAGAATGTAACTAGATAAGACCATGTCCCAATTTTCAAATTAACCTCCAGTTTTTAGAGAGAGTAACCCTTACATGTTGTCATTCAGCCGGACACTTTTTCTCATTTCTTTGAAGCGAATGCCCTCACTTGCAGGAGGCAAGAGGCTGGGTCGGTGGCTGCTCGGTCCAGGGGGTGACCAAGGGAAGGAGTGGGGCTGGCTGTGGGTAGCTGACCTCTGATGGGGGGTCCTGGGAAACAGCCAGCCCTCTCCCCGTCACACTGGACCAGGAAGGACGGCGTCTGGCCTTCCTGCTCATCTGCTGCAGTGGAGCTAGGAAAGCAGCATTAGCTTCAGAATAAATGACGTGGGCAAACCTGAGTCTTGTGGCCAAGATAGAAGGCCGCCTGTCTCCACTGAAAAATGCCTGAAGGATGCTTTTTTCCCAGCGCCGTTGTTCGTGAGAATTCGGATCCTCTCTCCTGTTTTACTGTGTGACCTGACTCTCCCTGTCCAAATGAATTGCTGCACACTGCCCTTTTACCAAAGAAGGACCTCCCTGGCTGGAGGGACTTGCCTCTGCAGAATCTTGCCCCCCTCAAGAGGACTCCTCCCTTCGTGCAGTCACCTCCACACATCTGTAGACGGTCATGCTTTGCAACATGGGGTTTGTGTCATTTACTTCTGGGGTAGGCAGATCCCTGGAGGTCCCTGGTGGTCCCCCTGGCCTTGCCTTTCTACTGTGGCCCAGGAGAGACGCCCAGTCTAACCATGGGGCCAGTGAGCATTCTGCAAAGCCCTGCTCTGGCCTGAGGCTGATTAATAAATATCTGCCTTTGTTTCTAGGTCTGTGTGGGACAGGTGCCCAGACAGAGTGAGCTCGTGCATATCACTGACTGGTCTGGCAGCATTTGGAATCAGAATTAATTTTAAAGACAGAAACAAGGGGGCAGCTGGGTGGCGCAGCGGATAGAGCACCGGCCCTAGAGTCAGGAGGACCTGAGTTCAAATCCAGCCTCAGACACATAACACTTACTAGCTGTGTGACCCTGGGCAAGTCAGTTAATCCCATTGCCTAACAAAAACAACAAAAAAAAAAGACAGAGACACCTAAATTCCCGTTCTATTTTTTAGAGCAAAGCCTCTCCTTTATTCTTCCAAAACTGTCTGTGATGAGCTGTGGTGCGCCTCAGGCCTGGCCTCCTGTCAGCGCTGCCCGGGCTCCTGAGCCTCGCTGCCCTCATCAGTGACCACAGGGTCGAGCCCGGACACAGCCCGGCCCCTGGGGCCGCCTTTACCTGCCTGCAGGGCTCAAGAACTGTTTGTGGAACAAAAACATCGACGCTCACACACTCTTAGGGTCTAGACAAGTCAGCAAAGCCGTCCGTCCAGCCTTGATGTGCAGGTTGCCGATTTCTGGGAGTGGATGCCCACCCTGGAAATGTAACAGCCGGCTCTCCCCCCACCCCGGCTGGATCCAGCCCCAGCACAGCCCTGCTACCAGGCTGCCCTCGGCGCTCTCCGCAGTGCAGCCCCGGCCTTCTTGCTCTCCCCAGGGACTCCCCCACACACGCCTCCGCCGCCTTCTCCTCTGCCTCCCAGCTTTCCAGCCTCCCTCCAAGATCCTCCAGCGTCTGTGGCCGGCACGGCTCTGGCCCCCAGGAGCAGGGATGCGATTTGGTTCAGTGTTTAGCTATGGTTTCTCTCCTTTAGGCCACGAGGACTGAATAAAGAAATGACACGATGTGCCTCAGAAGGGAATGAGCATTTATGTAGCATCTGCTGTGTGCCAGTCACTGGGCTAAGTGCGCATTCTGCCTCAGCTCTGCCAGGGAGGTGCTGTTATTATCCCCATTTCATAGTTGAGGAAACTGAGGCCAACAGAAGTTAAGTAGCTTGGGGGCACTGAGGTGGCTCAGTAGATGCAGGACCAGGAAAAGTGTGACCCTGGTCTAGTCATTTAACCTCTGCTTACCTGTTTCCTTACCTGTGAAATGAGGATGGTAATAGCACTTACCTCCCAGGCCTGTTGCGAGGATCATGCGTGATTAATGACTGCAGAGCGCTTAGCACAGTGCCTGGCACACAGTAAGCACTATAGAAATGCTGGTTATTTTTAGCCATTTCCAAAGTCCCCCAGCTAGTCAGTGTCTGAGGCTGGATTTGAATTCGGGTCTTTCTGAGTCCAAGCCCGAGTGCTTGCCTCCAAGTGAGCAAACTTCCTCTGCCAATATCAGGCCTCACCTTGTAGCCTCAGAGTGGCCTGAGGCTCTGCGGCCTAGCGTCTGGCCCCGGGGCCAGGCTGTCCTGACCACGGGGCTGGCTTTGTGTGTGTGGTGGGGGAGAGGGGACCCTGGCGAGCTTTGCCCTTCTGTCCACGCCTGTGGAAGCCATGGTGGGCGGAGCCATTCCTCCCTGAGTGCGTGCCCACGGATTCCTCTGCTCTCACCTCTCCCACTTTTGTTTAGTCATTCTTTCATCATCTTCTGAGAAATGGGATGTAACACTCCCAGAACAAAATGGCCCCGGTTGTTGTGAAGCAGTCACTCTGCCGTCTCGATGTTGCCACTCTGGCCTGTGATCCCTCAGTTCAGTATTCCAGGTCTGCCACACCTGCGTATCCAGAGGCTAGCAGAGAGCCGTACTCTGCAGTCAACATGTCTTAAGCCCCTACTGTGTGCTGTTCAGTGCCTGCCCTCCAGGAGTTTGCAGTCTAATGGGGGAGAAGCTAATGAAGAGAGGAGGGGAGGGCAGTAGGTCAGGAAGCCCCAGAGTTGAGCCGAGTTCCCTCCTGTATGGGGGTGATTGGAGGGGCGTACGGGAGGGTGGCCTGTAGGCATCTGCCATCCTTCCTCCTTCCTTATCTCAGC